AAAAAAAAAAAAAAAAAAAAAAAAAAAAAAAAAAAAAAAACCTCTGCAGCTGCTGATGCTGTCAAAAAAGAAAGAAAATGTGTTGTCTGTATACAGATTGCAGGTGTTTCTCCCATAATGTCTTGCAGGAAGTTTCCACGCTTCCTGCAGCTTAATATGTAGAAGACAGCTGGAGACAGCACAAGGTAGAATACGAACGATGGTCTAGGCTTCCCTAATGAGGCGTAGTGAAAATTTTCAGATCAAGCTCACCAGCGCTTCGGAAGGGCTGGGGTCTGAGGAGCCACCCAGATGTTTTCTTAAGGAAAATCCCTCAAAGCTGACGTCTTCAGAGCTTTGGGTAGATTCTTGAAGATCCTGAGGCTTTGGAACTCTAGGAAATCAAAAAATGCATGTACTTCAGCATGATGAAGACATCTGGGTTTGTAATTTAAGGTTTTCCTTTGATTCCAACACACTCATTCCTAAATGACAGCTCCGTACAGATGGGGCCTCAGTAACGCTTTCTGCTGTTCCTTATTTAAATAGGATTTAACGTTTGTGTTTGGTGAAGAGTCTGTTATTCATGTACAGAAGGGCTCATTATTTTTTAAGCTTGAGTTTGCATGTCTCATTTCATAAAATTGCAAGCATTCTCTCATTAGAGACTTTTGTCTAATGACTAGCGCTAAAATACGTTTTACCTAGAATATCATATTGTACTTCAATTGTAACAACTTCAGATTTAATGTTTGTGATGTTGTTAGATAAATAAACAAGAGGGGGGAAAACCTGTTGATTAAAATAAAGACATACAGGGTTCTTCTGTATTTTTAGGAGGTGCCTACATTTTACCATTGGCTTCTGCAATTGCATGTTATGTGGGCCAAGTAAATAACTGTTTTTTGAAAAGAGGATTAGGTAACTCCTAATCAGTAAATAATTCACAGAGGGAAAAAAATGCCTACCACGTTTACTCATGGACATTAAAGACATATATATATATATGTCTTTATATATATATATATATATATATATATATATATATATATATATATATTATATATATCTCCTTGGTGGGTTACTGGCCACCAAGATATGATTTAAATAACTGAGCACAGGGGACTTGGCTGTCACCATCAGTTATTTGTTGCTAACTACAAAGCAACTCCATGACACTGGGCCTTTGGATATCTACAGGTACTGCTGTGGCCCAATGCTATGACTCATCAGGACTTACAGAGCCCTGTATCTGACCCTTGCTGAGAAAGAAAAAGAGATACATTGAATCTGGTTGCTCACTACCGAAGTACTTAATCATGAATTCTAGTGAATGGAGTTGCAAGCAGTATTTTTATCAGTAGCAGAAGTCATATAAAAATACACTTTAATATTTCAGTCATTAGAGAGAGAGATTCTGGTGTTTAATCTGAGCAGTGTTGATGATGTCATCCACTTTTATGGTGTATCACATTTAAAGCAAATTTTACCTGGATTCAGCTTTATATCCAACTCTTTTTTTTTTTTAATTCCCTTATTGTTTTCACAACTGTTTTTTTTTTCATATGGGCTTTTTAAATATCAATTCATGGTTTTGTTCCTTTGTAATCGATTTCTCTCATATTTCACTCATTTTTCTATTTCTCAGTGGATATGGTATTAAAATATTTTTCCTCCTGACATAGGCTTTAGAAGAACTGTTCTATAGAACCTAATGAGTCTTTTCTTTCCTATCTCTTCCAGTTACAGAAAATGAAAATGTGTTTTAATCTCTAGGTGAAAGTGTTTTTGAGACCTTATTCATCATGAAGTAGTCAGAGTTGTAACTGAGGACTTCTTTTTGTTTATGATATTGTTATTGACAATATTTTATATAATATGCTCCATCTCAGTAGGAAGGCACAAAACTCAGAAAATAGTGATGGGTTTTCAGAAACATCAGACTTGGTGTTGGTATTGAAATGAGGTATTCACTTTTTTATGTCAATTGATATATAAAAGTTTGGGAAATTATTTGAAAAAAGCTAGGCCTCAAATACCAGCATTCGAGTGCTTGATGCATGTCTTGAATATGAAGGCTAATGTGCTGGCATTTCTGCTTTTATCTACCTATTTAGACAGAGCTGGCCTCAATAAGCATGCTTCTTTTGGACCTTTGTGTATCTTTTTTAAAACAGTTCTCCTAGATCGGCTCATTGTTTAAAGAGGAACATTAAAGTCTAAGTTTTTTCTTTTAAGATGTTAACAAAATCATCCTTCTCAACTCAAATTTTGTTTAAAAATGGAAACTGCAACAGTTCTTTAAACATTAGATGAATTGACTTAAATTTCTTTTGAAAAATCAAATATCTGGATAAGTTCTTCTTATTGAAAATGATTCAAGTTTGAATGTATTATCCTTCTCTGCCTTTAACTTCTTTGCAAATAAACCTTGTTTTGTCAAATTTTATTACCATCCAATTCCATTCCCTTTTTAGCCATTATATCGCATTTTCTTCAATTCATTAACCTTCTAGAAATTTCTACAATGATGAAATAGTTCCAGCATCAGGCCTTGTTTGTCGGCACTCAGTTTCCATTCCCACTTTCAATGCTTCATGTAGAAACTGTGGCTTTTTTAGTTCTGCGTGAATACTCACTGTGGATTCACTCGTGATCCAGAGCACTTCTTATGAGTCCACCGGGATATCTTATTTTCCCTCTGCAAAAGAGACATGGCTTATGGTTTATTGATAGTTTTTTTTTTTTTCTACATGCAATCCTATGTGGTAATTGCAAACGGCATCTTGTTGGACTTGCAACAGTATTGTCCTGGATCTGCCTAGAACAAGTCTATCCCAGAAAACGCTTCAGATGTGTGATGTATCTACTTTCTTCTTCAGTGTTCCCTTTCAATAATATCTCCTTCTCTGAAGTTTAAGGTTGCAAATACCTCTATGCATTGGGATCTCTCCGTCCTTCATTCGTTCATGCATGTCAGTTTTATTTGATGATCACACCTAACGTATTTTTCCCCAATAGGAATTTCATGTTGCACAAAATTATCTGGGTTGACTCCTTACGCGAGAACCACAAGTTGATGATGCCCAAATTTACATTTACTTTGTAAATCTATACTGTTTTTCCATTCTGTTTAGTGACAAATGCTGCTTTTACATTGCTCAAGCGTAGCCGGGTGGAGCTATCACTAATGGGTCTCTTGTCGTGGCTCACTGCATTTCATCAGATGCCAAGTCCTATCTTTATAAACATCCTTCAAACCCACACCCTATTCCACCTACTTACTCATGTAGCTCTTCATTGCTTCTCACATGAAAGCTGTTTCCAACACCTCTCTTCTAAAGATGTAGAAGATAATAAAATTAATCAGTATGGTTGTTGAGATAAAATTCTCTTACTACCTAAGAGAAATGCAGTAAACGTTGAATGTAGTTTGCTTTTTTTTTTTTTTTTTTCATTTACCATGTAGAAGACTGAATTATTTTGTTCTTGTTTGAACATGGCTCCTCGCCCTTTCTAGTTGGAAGCTCTTTGAGTGGAGAGGCCAGATCTACTACCACGTAACAAAAGTGCAATAAATATTTTGAATACAATTATACTGACTACCTATTAATCATTTGTGTTTAACAGGGGTGTAATAATGACATTACCATTTTGGACCCTTTTTTCCCATCCAAGTTAAGACTGTCTCTGTTTTTCAAGCAATTGCTTTACATCTTCAACATACATAAATGTTTGATGAATTGCAGTTTGGATAGTTCTTTCATGTAAATTATGAAACAATATCTCCCTGGTTTTCAGATGACACATTTCCGTCCTTCATATTCAAACACAAGACCTTTGTAAACATTTCTGCTAATTTCAGAATTTAAGTCTTTGGAAATGTTTTGAATCTCAACTCTGCTAGCTACCTGTATTTTCAGCCAAGCTTTATGTTAAAGTTAGTAATCATCACTTGAATGTCTTCAACTTCGTCACTGTTGTTCAGCATGGAAGAGTGTGTAGCTAAGGCTAGACCTTTGTGATATTACACTGAAGATCTGTCTTCATGTGCAAAGCCTGGTATTTATTAGGGCAGCCCAGTTTTATGTAGATAATGAATCTACATAAAACACTATAAGCCAGGTATATCTCACATCTTCCTCACAAAGGGATTATTTTTAAAAGCCCATGAATTGCCAAAGTCACCAAATCATGCTGCCCCACGTCCCCAATTCATCATATTAGCAGCAAACTCGCAAAAGAAGGCTAATTTTGCTGTTGGTATCTGAAGTTTTCCTCGAAGAGCCATCTGTTAGGGCCTGGCTCCTGGTCACTGGCCTCTTGGGAGAAAGTGAGACCGTTAGAAACAGATGTGCCTTGTCAAGGGAAGTTAGGTCTGCAGAGATTACCTTGACAGGGACAGCGAGGCCCTGACCCTTTCTTCCCTCCAGCCACTGAGTGGGCAGCCCTCCTGTGCTAGAACCAAAAGCAGGGTCACATGACTGTGGCTGAAACCGCTGAAGCAGAGAGCCAAGATGAACTTTTTCTCTTTTAAGTCGATGATACGACATTTGACGACGATGGAAGCCTCAGGAATACAGGACTGCTTCTCTTGTGCATTCTTTTTTTTTTTTTTTTCAATTTTTATTTTTAAGATTTATTTATTTTTGAGTGTTCTACCTGCATGTACACCTGAACGCCAGAAGAGGACGTAAGATCCCAGTATAGATGGCTGTGAGCCACCATGTAGTTGCTGGGAATCAAACTCAGGATTGTCTGGGAGACGGTTCTCTTAACTGATAAGCCATTTCTCCAGCCCCAATTATTAATTCATGTATATGATTATTTTGCTTGTCTGTATGTCTGTGACCACTGTGTGCCTGGTGCCCTCAGAGGCCAAAAGAGGGTATCAGATTGTCTGTACCCCTGGAACTGGAGTTACAGATAACTGTGAACTTCTTTGAAGACGCTGCAGTGTGAAAACCCGTGTCCTCTGGAAGAACAGCCAGTGCTCTTAACTGCTGAGCCATGTCTGCAGGGCCATCAGCATTGCTTCTCTCTCACCCATGTTCTCATTAGTGCCTTCTTAGCGCCGGCAATTACCTAGCAAACGTCTATTAGTCACACATTATCAACGTATCATTTCCATAATTTCCTCTTCTTCCTTGTGAAAACTGAAGCATTTGCCTGGACTCGTAACTCCAGTAGCTTTTCCTTGGTCGGTCATTTCTGAAAGCATATCTCCAAGCTATGAAAAACAGAGTAGGCTAAGGAGTCATGTCTTTTTTATTTATGACTTTAAAATAATTATGTCTGCCTCTTCCATAAAGGCATAATGGCCAGTACGGTGCATTACTACCAGGTTCAACAGTGCCTAGCACCAAGCAAAGTGCTGGCATATTTCAGTCTCTACATTTTTTTTTTCTTCAGTGAGTAAGTTAAGAAAATACTCTATGTTGTCTTAAACTCGTTCAACCTTTGACTTCCTGATCTCATCCTCAAAGTGTCGGGTAGCTTTCCAGAAGCTTTCCAGTTTCTGATAGCATTGCGTTTCTTCTGTATTTGTTCTAGGGATAGAGAGATAGAATGCTGCAAATTACATTTGTTGTCATGGCAACCTTTTCCACTTACTAAGCAATTCTTTATCCACACGCTGGTCACATCCCTACTCAACTCAGAAGATTTTGAAGTGTCTCACGACACCCTTCCTGACAGAGGGAAACAGCCAAAGATTGAACAGTGGAAAAGGAGTAACAAGGAGTAACCACACAAGAATTTTATTTTATTTTATTTATTTTAGTTTTTTTGAGACAGGGTTTCTCTGTGTAGCTTTGGCTGTCCTGAACTCTCTCTGTAGACCAGGCTGGCCTCCAACTCACAGAGATCCGCCTGCCTCTGACTCCTGAGTGCTGGAACTACAGGAATGTGTCACCATGCTTGGCTACACCAGAAATTTTAAGCTAATTAAAAACTCACAGAGATCAATTATAAAATTGACATCTCTACTCTCTGGTAAATGTTACTATTTCAAAAAAAGATGAAAATAATATGGTTTCCTTAGAAAACAAGGGAGATTCACAGAGTTGCCTGGAAAAAAAATCCACATTCTCCATCTCTGAGGGTGAAAAACCATGTCTTTTTGAGAACCCTTCATTAATCACTTTAATAGGAGAGAGAGGGAATGCTGAGTTGTTGACTTCTGGTTATCTTCAAGGCCAGTTTTTGAAACCAAATGGAAGTTTTCTTGGTCATGTCAGCTACTAATAAACGAAATTTCAAGATCTCTGGATATTTAAGAATTCATACTTTAAAAAATAACTCTATTCTTCCAAGATTGTATCCACTGTATATATCCATTGTGTAAATATTTAATTTATTTAAATAGTTCAAATAGTTACCAAATAAAGACACTATACTAATTTAGAAATGGTTAATTTTTTTTTCCATTAATTCATTAAGTCGCTGTCTTAAGAATCTAAGTACAAAGCATGATGTGGCATATATATGGGGGGGCGGCGCTTTTGTATCTCTACTAGGGAGAGACTGTTTTAGTTCAGGAGAAATGCACGAGCTGTGTGCTTCGTTGCTGCTTCTGGAAAACGCCTCTTTTGTTGATTTGCTTGTTCAGTTGCCTGGTAGGTTGGATAACAGAGTCTGTGGGTTCATTACTAGCCCAAGCCTAAGACCGGCTTCTCCTGTTACCAGCTAGGACCGGGTGTACACATTTACTCTGCGATGTCTTTAAAATACCGAACTGCTTTTAGCGGAGATGGTAATAGCAGTCCTCTTACCCCTGCTTGATGGCAAGACGAACAAAGAATTAAAATTGCTCAGGTGTGTTATCTTTTGTGACGTTAATTGTTGTAGTAGCCAGACTCCGAGGCAGAGTTTACTGGGCCAGCTGTTTATTAAGAAATGCTTTCGGGCTCCAACCCTGGAGACGGAGACGTGTGGAGAGCGAAGCGGGTGTGGACAGGAGTTGCGTTGGGACATGTACCAGAAACATCCTCAGCGGGACGCACGTGGGACTCCAGAGCTACATACTTCTTTAGCGTATTTCCCTTTGAGCCGAGACGGTCAGAGCCACGTCCCGCACTCCCTGACCAGCATCCTTCCCAGGAGGAAACAGCCTTGGTAGGGCAGGTCTCTGCGGAGGAGGCAGCACTCCATACTAACCAACCATGAACCGATGTTTTTTGGCCCCTCTGTTTTTAGAGGCTTCTTTTTATCATCTTAAATTTATGTGCATGTGTGTGGGTCCGTGCACGTGGGTACTGCTTGGTACTGCTTCCCTCAGAGGCAGAAGAGCTGGAGTCGCCCATGTTTCTGAGCTGCTGCCTGATGTGGGAGCTGGGAACTGAACTTTGATATTCTGCAAGAGTAGCATCACTGAGTGTTATTGGGTCCTCTTACCTACACACTCCCAAAAAATGTTACATGTAGCTTACAAGGACCATTCATTTGACAATTAAAAAAAAAAACCCAAAAAACTGTTTAATCCTGTTTCCTATACCTCCTGTGGGATAAATAACAAAAGAGTTAGCCTTTGGCAAGATCACTCCAAGTTACTTAAAAAACTTTCTTTTTTTTCTTTTTTTTTTTTTTTTTTTAATGCTAAGCACACTTTTACTTGTGAGGGCAACTTAGCAGAAAGATGCTCCACAAATGGAAATGTTTTTCCCATTTATTGAGTTAAAAATCAACCAGCCAACATGCCAGAAGTAGGGAGTATTTCTGCCACTGGTAGTTTGAAGATAGAGCTCTAAAACTTTATAAAATATGGCATCTATCACTATGCTTTCAAGTCTGAAAGCCACATGCCTCCTCATTACACTCTGCACTCATTCTCACCTATCTCTTGCTCTATCTTAGTGAAGTTTTCTCAAGTTTATTCTCTTTTACTCGCAGGAGTGGTTTGCACACCTATATGTCTATAGACCACAGGCAAGCCTGGTGCCCTCAGAGACCAGAAGAGGAAGTCTGATCCCTTGGTACTGGGGGTTATAGACATTTGTGAGCGCTGTGTGTGTGTGTGTGTGTGTGTGTGTGTGTGTGTGTGTGTGTGCTGAGAACTGAGCCCCTATCCTCTGCAAGAACAAATACTCTTAACCACTGAGCCATCTCTCCAGCTCCCTTGGTTGCTTTCTGAAAATGGACAAACAACTCTATTTTGTTTAAAGTCAACTTTCTTACAATGTTTAGCTGTAGTTTTAAAAATAATCAATCATAGACAGGGGCCTGAGAATGAGAATCCGGTTAGAAGGAAGACTACGGAGTTTTCTTAAAGTTAGCTGAAATAGGCAGAACTCACAACTTCAACTTGGATTTTATGCTTAGTTAGGGCAGTGGTTCTCAGCCTTCCTAGTGCTTCGACCCTTTCATATATTTTCTCCTGTTGTGGTAACTTCAACCATAAAATTATCTTTTTTCTACTTCATAATGATAATTTTGCTGCTGCTATGGATTGTACTGTAGAGCTCTGGTGTTTCTGATGGTCTCAGGCAACCTCTGTGAAGGAAAGGCTTATTCAACCCATAGGGACTGTGATGCACAAGTTGAGAACCTCTGCTTTAGGGTTTTCCTGAACATGAATGTAGATGGTAGGGAAACAGCTAATGCCCACAGATATTGTACTTATCTCTTTGCAGTTGTGATGACGGGCATCACTTGTATTCATATAATTTTTAAGACATGCTTTTAGAGTTGAGAATACAACATTTAAACCAGGTAGAGTGGCTCTTGCCTGTAATCCCAGCATTCAGGAAAGTTGAGGCGGAGGGATTGCCATGAGTTCTGGGACAGCCTGGACTATAGAGTGATAATTTCTCTCTTACACACACACACACATAGCGGAAAAGAAGCTAAGTATGAAGCTATGAAAATAAGAGTTGAAATGAAAAATATATCACAGCTGTTTAAAGAACCAGATTTTGTTTCAGACAAAATAACCCTGGAGAGGGACCTTGAAGATAGGACTATAAACTATGGGCACAGTTTACACTCTTTTTATTTGTGCTATTATCTCCACATGCAAAAAATGAAGATGAAAATTCAGATCGAAGAAGTGGTGACAACTGCCAGCAAATCAAAGGCTTTTCATGCTAATGATGCAACGATCACTTCTGTGCTTGGCTTTCTATTGGCATGGATTTATAGGTCCATAAACAACGCGGCACTTCCTGCTGTGGAAAACGCATCTCCAGTGCCAATTTCAGATCTATATCTGATATCTTTAACCATCTTTAATGAGTTAAGAGGGCTTGAAAGTACCTGAGTTTATAATTTCTTTCCCAATGCCTTACAAGGATGAAACTAAACCGGGTCTGTTCTGTACCTAGGTGGAGAATTGACTCCTGCAGGAACCCTGAAGAGCCATCACGATGCACCAGTGAATAATGAGTAGCACCTACTGCAACAATTCTTCAGCTAAGATGAGTGTCAACGAAGCTTCTGAATCCTCCCCGACTCTGGAGCAAAAGACCGGCTTTGTTTTTGTGGGCATCTTGTGCATTTTCTTGGGACTTCTCATTATCAGATGCTTCAAGATTCTGTTAGACCCGTACAGCAGCATGCCCTCCTCCACATGGGAGGATGAAGTGGAAGAGTTTGATAAAGGGACCTTTGAGTATGCACTTGCCTGACGGTGGCCCCAGCTTCATGCCTTTCCCAGTTGCCATTGTGACACACGGTAGACACATTTCACAGTTAGCTCAACTGTGCTGCTAGAGAGAGGATCATTCCATTCACAGAATTCAATAAACATCTGTGGTTGAGTTGTCCGCCTTGCTGTGTGCAATCTCATGTTCTCCCCCATCTCTCTCCTTCGAGGAGGTCTCTACGCACGGAGCAGAAACCAGACCACCTCTAATATCTGCCCTTGCTCTCTGCTCCTCTGGGTATGCTAATAAGCTAGCTGAGGACTTCTTAGAAGCAAACCCACCTGTCCTCTCCACGCCCCAGCACTGCTGTCGTGAGCCCTGGGCTGTGTGACCGTATTCTTGGGGAGATGTGAACACGTCTTCTCACTCCACATAGAGAACCAGCGATAGACTGGGGATACTTCTAGGAATATGTGTGATGGGTTACTTACAGGAGCAGAAATCACTTGACAACAGCTTTCTCACCAAAACCCACCCCAGCGTGAGTGACAGCTCACAAGAGCTGGGAGCCCAGAGCTCAGGGCACTGCCTGCAGGCAGCAGGCACAGGTTGGAGAGTCCCTCTGAGGCAGCTCAGTGGTCTGAACCTCTTCCAGGCCTCTTGTCATCCTTACTGCTTATGTACGTTTGGGGAAAGAAGGAAACTGGGGTTTCTGGTCAGTTTCAGAGACTTTCCGAAGCCTTTGGGTTGTTTATTCCCTAAACTTAGCAAGTTTCCCCTGCAGTGTGGAGTATTTTACCTCCCCTTAGAACATTCTATGCCTTAAGGAACTTCCCTCCAAGATGAAGGCTTATCTCAGAGGAAATTGCTACACAACACTTAGGCTCAAAGGCCTTTGGGCCCAAAAAGGAAAGAACATTATTTTTTAAACAGGGATCATAGGTCAGAGTTCGCAGTGGAACAAATTCAGAAAACTAACACCAGACCTTCCACGTTTGCAGAGATGTGAAGGTTCTCAGAATTCCCAGCATTCTTCTGGACCTTGAAGAACCTCCTGTGGTGAAATCCTGCAGTCCAGCGTCCCTGCCAATCCTGCCTTGTCCCTGCACCACCCTCTTTCATGGCTAGCACCAAAGAGAGAGCTCCAGCATCTCGCAGTAGGAAGGACAATTGTTCTGAGGCAAGGTGTCCAGTCAAACACCCCCGCATCTGAGCCACCAGGAGCCAGTTGTCTAAACTTGGTGGACTTCCCGAGGGAGATAACCATAGGGTTTGAATGCCCCTTTAAATACAACAGCCTAAAAATGCCACAAGCGTACCTGGAAAGCCAGAGCTAAGGAGAGGATTGAGGATATTAGGCTCATTTTCCAGGTCAGGAGTCAGGACTCTGATGTTGGCTGACTCAGCTTCAGAACCTACAGACTGACCTCAGGGCAGACAGTTTCCACATCCGTGAAACAAGGATGAGAAGCCTATGCTGTGTCTCTCAGGAAGGCTGGTGAGAGTTCGGAAATGGAAGGAATGGAAAAGCACTTTGAAAAACCATAGAGCACATAAACATACTATGCTCTCTGCCTGTCTCCACACCACCCCTGACCCGGGTGAGGGTCGCACATGCTTTTTCCATGCCTGAGTTTTATGTGAGCCCTGAGGATCTGAACTCAGGTCTCTGCTTACAGAGCAGGCACTTTTCCCATTGAGACAACTCCCCGGCCTCTACGATGTTTTATCAAGACTCCTAATCATGTCTGTGGCATTCCAAGAAAAAGCAGCCACAGAAAGATGCCTGATAGTGTTTGTTTGTTTGTTTGTTTGTTTGTTTCTTAGTGAATTCGTAAAACATCTATGTTAGCTGTGGTTCTTCTGTTGTTGAGTTTGGGGTGGAAGCCAAGAAAAACTTACTTCAGATAAGGAAGCTTAGAATAAAAGCTTTATTTACTGAGTTCATGGAGGTGGCCAGGATCTGAACTGTGTCCCCAACGGGAAGCTATATTGCATAGTTAAAGGGTGAAAACCGCAAGATGAGGGGACATTGGTGAGTGTCAGGGTCATCCAATCAAATTTTAACATTATGGGAGTTTCTGTTGAAGGCTGGGCCTGATCCAGGACACCTGACCTTAAAATGTCCTAGACATTCTCCTAGACATTTGGTCCAGAGCTCAGCATAATAAGGGAAACAAAGAAGGAGCCACCTGCACTTAGTTAATTAGGGCATAACAGGCAATTGGTTATATACTTTTATAACTTATGTATCTTGGTTTAAATAATAGCAATTTCTATGTTCTTTACTGGTTGACAAAAAAAATTATTTGGAGAAATAGCATAGGACTTCGTTCCTGGGCTTGGGAATATGAACTTGTTTGACCCTTCCAGCAAGGTGGAGACGACTAAAGATGGCTGTACTCAGACAACTGTCTCCTTACAACAGAAGCTGTTCAGCTATTGGGAAGGTCTCAGCTCCCCTAGGTCCTGGGACCTTGAGTTTAGTGTTTCCCTGTGATTAAATGGAGTATTAAATCAAAATTATAGTACTTAGAATAAGTTTCTTTTGCTAGTTCCCAACACTGTTCAATGCCTTCACACCCAAGAGGCTCTTGGTGCCTCAGGAGCACATCCAGTTGGTAATCTGGCCCATGAATAACCCAGTAAATTGAGATCAGCTGATGCTGCTGGGAGGCATCAGTGCCTTAACACAGAACATGGTCTGTGTGACATGAGCTTCTGAAGTGCTTGCTCCCTACGACTCATGTCCAATTGGCAGAGGTTCCATTTGGAACGGGGACAACATTCACAAAGACTTTCCATTTCATGAGATTAGATTTTTATTTCAGAAAGAATAAAAGTATCAAAAGAAAGGAGAGACAGAGAGAGAAAAAAGCAGACAGACAGAGGGGGGTGTGAGACACGTTCATAAAGAATGCACCATTTCAGGTCAACTCCCAACACATTACCACTCCCAATATCACTAAGAACACACACTAACAGGAAGTGTTTGGTCCATAGCTTTTATTTTTCATTCGTGCATCTTAGTCTTTTGGGAGGAGGGGGTAGACAAATGGTCAGCATCTGTATTTTCAGAGCAAGAAATGATAATGACAAAAGGCTGGTTATAATTGAGATATAATATGAAAACTTCAAGAAATGTTAGTGCGTCCAAGAATAGATGGCCAATATCATTTCCAGATCAGCTCCCATTGCCATACCCAAGAGCCTTTTAGGGGAACAGGAAGAAAGGTGGTGTCTGTCACCCAAGACAGCTTGTTCTGTTTCTGACCCACTTGCCTCACGGACTTGAATTAAGCTCACCATCCAAGGTTGACTTTATGGATGTTGTCATCCCATCCGTATCCCCTAACTATCTCCCAGCCACTAGAAGATCGGAACCCCCTTAATAAAGAACAAAGGCCATCGTTTCCCCATTAGAGATAACAGCCGCGAATGAAAATGTCTGCTTGATGGAGGACGGAGACTGAAACTAATTCATACACACTGAAGTCAGACAGGCGTGCAGCAAGAAAGAGAGACTGGCCTCAGGGGCACTCACAGCCCCGGGGGGAGGAAGAAGTCTGAAGAATGAGGGAGAGATTCCCGAAGGCAGGTGAGGGCCAAATGGGGCCAATCATCCTAGCGCAGGGAACAGAACTTGTGGGTCTCAGCAGCATCTCAGTAGTCTACTGATCTGCTCAGTAGCCCTGTACCCCCTGGCTGATCCTGGCACCTGACTTCCTAGGCAGAATGTCCTTCTTCTAAGCAAGAGTTGCCACCCCTTACTGAATAAATAAATTTCTTCTATTAAAGTGGTCTTTATGAGATGGTTAGAGCTGACGGGGTTGCTCAGTGGATAGAGGGACTTACTGCCAGGCCTGACATTTGAGTGCAAACCCTGGCACAGACATAGTGGAAGAAGAGAACTGACTCCTCAGAAGTTGTCCTCTGATCTCCATATATACCATATGACCTGTGCACTCACTCACTCACACAAATAAGTAATTGTAAAAACAGAAAAAGAGAGCAGCTGCCTCTTTATAATTCTTCTGACAGAACCTCATAACATTACCTCGCTTGAGTACCAAGGCATTCACCCAGCTAAGAACATCGAAGGAGTTTTCCTTTGGCATCTGCATGGCCCTTTGTACCATCCTGCATCTGGCCACCAACTTACCTTTCCCTTTATTTTAATAGGTATGATTTCTATCCCTGTGTTTAATGGCTGGTCTCAGAATCATTCGTGTGACTAAAAGAAAAAAAGTTTCAAAGGGATAATAAATATTGCCAAAATGGTACAAGCAAGGACTATGTTAACGGGTGTGTTTGGAAGCAGACATATATTAGCTCATTTAGTCTTCACAGTAACTCAGCAAGTTACATACCATTTTTTTTCTGCATCCACGTTTGCATATTGAGGACATTACGGCACACGCACAGTGAATGAGTCTCCTGAATTCACCCAGACAGCAAGTGGCAGGACCAGAATTGAAATGGAGAACGCTTCCCTTACAGCTCGCATTGAATCACCACATCACACCACAGCAGAGCCACCCAGGTAACCGGAAATCACTTGGATGGCTTCTTATTAGACACAGAGAGGACTCATTCAATCATCCTGATTGAAACCCAATGACAGAACCTGCATGGAGGGATTGTATGTGCAATCTTAATCACCAACCCATAGACTGGGGCAGAACCTCCCTCTGAGCAAACCTCAGACACTTGATGTGATAAAAACTGTTCTTCCATGCGGAGACAGAAAAGCCATTTAGTGGTGCCACTGGGAAGTGTACCCAGTTCGAATACCTCAAAGTGATTTTCTTACTAGACAGAAATCTTTTCAATACCTCACCGATCCCATCCTCAGTCTGCTTGCTTCCTATGCAGGAAAGAGGCAAAATAAGAAAGGTAAAATGATTTCAGGTAACATTTCCTAGCTTCAGAATATTGAGACCATCTCTTGATATTTTGGTTCCTACGCTGAGCAATATGAGGTCACTGGGTCTCATCAAAAATAAGATGTCAAGCTATGCCTGGTATCACAGGCCTACTTCCAGCTGGTGGGAGGCTGAGGTCAGGAGGATGGCAAGTTCAAGGCTGCCCAGACCATGGAGTGAGCTCAGGGCTAGCCTAGGCAAATAGCAAGATCCCGTCTCAAAGGAAAAATTTTTAGAAATGGGGTGGGGAGCTCAGTGGCAGAGTAATTGCTGAGTCTGTGTAAGGCACTGGGTCCAAATCCTATTACAGAGAGAGACAGAGACAGAAAGGCAAGCTGTGGAACTAAATTTATCTACTCCCAAACAACTGAAGCAATATTTTTGAAGGCTTTGCTGTTGAGCAATCTGTGAATTAAAGAAATTTTATTTTGTTTACTGTCTGAAAGGATTAATGATTTACTACTAGTTACTAGTTGATGTGGTACTTACGGTTCCCCAGGGCTAATGACCGGCAGGGCTTCTCCCACTATTCCAAGCCAATGACTGAAAAGTCATCTCTTACAAGAACGTTTTTAACCAATGAGCAGAAGCCTAAGGTTGTGGCCTGAAAGCTAAGGCTCCATATATGCCTGTGTGATGCTAAAGTAGTTACACTTCCTCAGAAGAAGGCTCCTGGATGGGAAGGTAAGTGTCTGGGCTGGGCAAAAACCTCACTTCATACCGAGACAAAAAAAAAAATCCTGAGGACTGGACTGAAGATGTCTGGGACTGTGGGACATTAAATGTTCTAAAATGTTAAGAGTCGTGGGCTTCATGGGTAATTTCACCAGGAAAGATTATTTAAGAGTTTAAATTGTGTGTGTGTGTGTGTTTTAGTTCAAGAAATGCCTTAAATCAAGTTTTTGTTTGTGTTGTTCTTATTTTCTAGTTTTCTTTGGAAAAAAAATCAAATGTTAAGGTATCTACAAAAAAATTATTTCAAAGACAGTATTTAAGGTTGGCACATACCATAGAATTGTGAAAACTATCAGGTGGTCTTTTGATTTCACAAAACATTTCATTTGAAGGAGCCAGTAGAACATAAGCCTTATCTATCCAAAACACTCATTTTTTTTAAACACTCATTTAATATCATTCATGGAAAAGCACAAATAGTGAGCAAATGAGATGTTTCATAGGCTGCTAAAAATTCTTAAAATTCACAGAACATCATCTTGACAGACTTCTCTTTTTTTTTAACTTCACATGTTAAAATGTAACTTTTTACTGTTATATGGGTTAAAGTTTTTCTGGGACAAACTTATCATTGATTATGTGTGGATTTTTGTAACCAGCAAAATACACTTTTCAAAGTTTTCAAGTTTTGCACTTCATGTATTAGACAGCGTATAATGCTAGCCACATAAAATACTTCACAATCCCAGCGTTTAGACTCTCCGTGAACCCTCTTACTGTCATCAACTACTAACATGCTTTCCAGAAGTCCCAGCGACTTCCAAGCAAACGTGACAAGCAGTCAGCCCCATGTTGGTGACTTCCCTGGAAGTGAAGTGTGCAGAAAACTGTCCCTGGTTATTTCATTGCTCAGGTGGCAAGGGTTCTGGGACAGGCAATTTTAGTGAAACAAAGTTAAAACTGTGCGCCTCATGGAAGGAAACTATTTCTCAAACCTTTCTTAAATATATTTGCACTGCCTGGAACAAATACACTTTTCTTTCTTAATAGCAGCTCTGAAGATCATTCTGAAGATCGCATGGGAAACAACTCGCCAACTGGGAATCCAATTACTGAGTCATCTAGAACCAAAGCCAAGAGTTCCATATTATAACCATATTATTGTCTGTTTTGAAGCAAAAAATATATAAATATATATAGAAGCAACAACTATAACGTGGGAAGTTCCTTAATAGATTTTGGAAGATGTCAGTAAACACCCCTTCCAACTCAGTGCCCGGGAGCACCAGTCGTTTCCAGGTCCATGTCATAAACGAGAGTCACGGCAGCAGCGCGGCCGTGAGCGACAGCGCACACCCCCCACTTTACGAAGAGACTTCTTTCGGGGACGAAGCCCAGAACAGACTGAGAATCAGCTTTAGGCCTGGAAACCAGGAGTGCTACGACAATTTCCTCCAGAATGGAGAGACGGCTAAAACGGACACCACGTTTCACGCCTACGACACTCACACCAACACATACTACCTGCAGACTTTCGGCCACAACACCATGGATGCCGTCCCCAAGATTGATTACTACCGCAACACAGGCAGCGTGAGTGGGCCCAAGGTCAGCAGGCCCAGCTTGCTGGAGATCCACGAGCAGCTGGCCAAGGTAAGCTTGAAGGGCGTGGTAAGCGTCCTTCCACGCCATTCCCTGGGGTAGTAACCAGGGACTACCAGTGAGGAGGGCTGCCCCACGCCTGCCACCTTCTGGCTTCCAAGAAACAGAACCTGTACAGGCGCTTTGCAAAGGTTTGCTGAGTTGGGAGAGAAGCGCAGACTGGGCTCAGGAAGTCAGGGAATTAGCAAAGTTAGGCAATGTCTCCTACGGCGTCTGCAGTTAGGTTACTCGGGTCCAGGTCCAGCCAAGCTGCTTCCCCTTCACTGTTAAAAACTCCCCAGCAATCCTTAAACAAACCGCTGTGCTTTCGTGGGAGTCAGCCTGTGGCCCAGCTGTGGTGTGGCCTAAGACACAGCTATCCTGGAGGCTGAGGCCGAGCTACGACTACTTTTAATATTCCTTAAAGAAAGATCAGGAATGCGAAAGATTCGGCCCTACTGTTCCCCCTCTTCATACCTTTGCCTGAGGCTCCTGGCTTCGTTATCTTTAAGCCCGGAAGCACAGAAGTGGCCAAACTTCCTGTTTAAAGAATGCACAAGAGTTCCAAAGTCTCTGAAAGACTCTCCATCCTCATTATTTAGAAGCTTAGACTTCCTCCGAGATGTGTTGACAGACTATCGCCCTGCCTTCCTGTCAGTTTGTAATGAATATCGGTGTTTTCTGTATGCTTCTGTGTGCAGCGCTGTGCATATGTGCCTATTTGCATGTGCTTGCACATGTGTGTGCGGGAGTATGCGGAGGTTGACGCTGGGCATGTCCCTCACTTTCCCCACTTCATGCTCTCTCGCTGGAACCCAGAGCTTGATGATTCAGGTAGTCTAGCGGGGCCGGCCTGCTCTGGAGCTGAAAGCACAGGTGGAACGCCATGCCAGCCTATTTCTGTGAGTGCAGGAGATTTGAACCCTGGCCCCCACGGCTACCAGCAAGTGCTCCACTCACTGAGCCACCTTCACAGCCCTGAACATCGCTTTTTTGCAACACGGTTACTCTCTGGGAAGAGAACTGAAGATTTCATATTCAAATGTTTACTTACTCAGAGCCAGGCTTTCTGGGGAACAAAGAATGCACAGTTTATTTCATAACTATTCACGTATTCATTCTGGTTCTTAACAGTTAAACAAGCCGGGGGGGGGGTGTCGGGGGAGGCTCAGACCTTTAATCCCAGCACTCTGGAGGCAGAGGCTGGAGGATCTCTGAGTTTGAGGACATCCTGGTCTACACAGCAAGTTCTTGTGCAGCCATAGAAAAACTTGGTCATGAAAGAGAGAGAGAGAGAGAGAGAGAGAGAGAGCAAAATTAAGCCATCCCCCATCACCCCCAACCCTGCTCAGGACAGGTTCTCTCTGGAATGATTCTGTAAAGGCCGAGGCTCTTTCTTTAGTTTCTTCTCACCTTCTTTCCAGAGGAAAAACAGCTCCAAAATTTACTCTCTGAGCTGCCTGGGGCCCAACTCGATACTAGTACATCCAGAGGAATACCCCATGTCCCCACTCTGCTCTCTCATACCCTCACCCCACAAACCTCCTCCTCTGTCCAGTGTGCTGTATCCATGGCAATCTGCTAATGTTAGGCTTTGTCCTCGAGATATCTGGTGCTTTAATCAAAAGAAAAAACAGCATCATGGCTATTGAGTCAGAGTAGTAGCTCCCATAGAGATTTTTTTTTTTTTAAGGGAGGTAATTTGAGGCTTCAGACAAAGTGCTTGTCCATTTCTTTCTCTAAATAAAGGGGAAAACAGGATAATAGACGGGACAGGAAGAAAGGAAAAAAAGGTGAACTGACAGAAGGTGATCCCAAGTTGTAGAAGGAGCAGAAGCAGAAGGTAAACATCACAAGGACCTTCCCATCGTCTGAAGAAGTAAAAAAGAACCCAAAACACCCAAAAAAAGACAGGAAATTCTATCCCATCAAGTCCTGTACACTACACATAACTTGTAAAGCTGCCCCCTTGGTTTAAAGTAATACAAAATTTTTGATGCTCATTCATCCACTCCCACAGTTTACAACAAAGAAAAACAATGCCTTAGCCACCATTAAGAAGAAACTGGAAGCAAGACCTGGTAGTTCAGGCCAGCAATCCCAGTTATTCCTGGACTTGATTTCTAAGTCAGATGATTATATGATAAGGCTTGTTCCTAATAGGTAAAATGAGGTTAGAGAATTTAGAAGCCACAGCCTGACGGCATTACCACCAAGTAAGATGCAGATCAGCTAGGGTGACGCTTGAAGACCTTGTCTCAGATGTAAGGCCCAAATTTCAAACAAAGCAAGTAGCTGTGGAGGCTCAGTCACGGTGCACTTTCCCCAGACACATAAAACCATAGGCTCAGTCCCCAGCACCGCTAAGGAAAAGGGTTGGAGTTGAGTGGAAGGAAACCACATTCTAGAGATAAGGGTAGCTTATTTTTTAAGTTTTAAAACTCTGGCTTATGAAGATCTTTACATTGAGGGAGTAAATTCGGAAGCAGCAGGTTTTCAGTATGCTATCTGAATGACGGTGGCCTGGCAGCCTTTGTCACAGCACACAGAAACTGTTTGGGACGGCTGAACATGTTTTGAACAGATAAAATAAGACATTGTTTTGTGCTCTGCTCTTTTCACCATACAATAGGCCTTGGCAATCTCTCCACATCAAAGGATTCACAGTGATTCCTTAGCATCTGATAAGGATTAATCATGCAATTTTACTTCATAAAAAGAATTCTGTTTTCACTTCCCCTTAGATTGCACGTGATTAAAGCTGCATTAAGTATTGGAAGATGAAAATCTTCTGTCAAATAATCTACCTTTCTCTTTAAACACACTTTATTTTCTTTTCACTAAATTCATAATGCACAAATAGAAATATTGGTGAAAGAATGACCATTCCATAGAATTAAAAATGCATTAATGAAAGATTAAGGGTCATCATTTATGGAAATGGAGTGCAAGCAAGCAAATTAACTCATATTGTAAAGAAAGAAAAAAAGAGCTACAGGAAGGATGTGATCACAAAATTTTCCGTCTTTGAGACATTGGCAGCCTCCAGATGTCTGTGAATCCCTTAGCAGCCTTCAGGTCCCCACAAACCCCTACTCAAATCGTGTTCAACATTTGTAGGAGACACTGATTTTACTATTGTTCTGGTGCACAAAGGAAGCATTTATCCAAGAGTGAAACCAAGATTTGCTTTACCACATAAAAGGTGATTTTTTTTTCCTTAAAAAAAAAAATCCAGGTAGATTTTTTTTAAATATACAATCTTGGATGTGATCTCATTTCTACTTCCTAAGAAGGCAAAAGTAGCTTGCTGGAGGACATGCCCTGGATTCACTTCATGACAAAATTAGATTCCATCTCTAGTTTCTTAGGCACAGAGCCTTTCTGCTCCTACATATTACATTGAGACAAGAAAATGGCATGTGTTCTTGTAAATTTACTGTTTAAACATTAGTCACAAAAGGAACCACAGTCACAAAAAATTCGAGGTCACTGGCCCCCAGCCTTTGACATAAATACACTTAAAACTTCAAAATGTTAGCAAGTTCCATATAGCTATGAAAAGAGAGTTGTCTGCCCTACATTGACTCTGCTTCTGAATAATTTAGAAATTGATTGTTGTACCAACGTCCATGTCTGGAGGTTTCTCTGCCCTGCACTCCTAGAGTGTTCTCTTTGTATCCTGTTCTGAAGTCCATGTGATAAACCGAAGAACTGTGAAACTGTGATCAGAAATGGTATCCATCAAGAAACAAAAACAACTTTGTTTGACGGAAAATTTTGAATATGCATTTTTTTTCTCTATTGTACTTTCCAGCTTGCTTTTTCAGTTATTAATGCTCTCATTCTCCAAATGTAAGGGTCAGAGTCACCACTGGAGGTCATTAGAGAGCCCAGCAATCTCCTAGACCAAACCCTCGACAGGTTTTACCAGAAGGCATAGGTTTTATTTCCAAAATCATGTCCAAAAAGGCAGGTGACTAAGGTTTTCTCATGGGACCCCAGCCACAGGAAGAGTGATTAACTAGAATAGCTACATTCTCCAGCTAAGCTGAAGAAATAAGTTCTGTAACCAAACAATTCTTCATTCATGTTAGCACGCCCGTAACTTCCACGCTTTTGAAGACTGAGATTTAGTCATGGGGAGTCAAAGCTGTGTTTGGGAGATGGCTGGAAAGCACTTGCAGTGGTACCTGGTGCGGGGTGCTGGGCTGTGTCCCGTTAGCAAGAGGGAGGGGTGGGAACAGGAGGCTGCTCCTCCAGGAACTCTGGGGCCCTCCGCCTGGAATACACATCATTGAACAACCACAAAAAACCCTGTTCCAATGAAGGCAGAAGGCAAGGACCAACAACACAAGGTCATCCTCTGACGTCTGCACACATGACTCAACACGTTCTTGTCCGCACCAAATACACAAACACACGCATCATATATAACACAAATTCACGCATCATAGAACTCATTCACACGTATCAGAAATACAGACACGTTATCCACAACCCACACAAATGAAAGTAAAATCTGCAGGGGACTCTGTTACTATGTGACTAGAATTTATTTATTTATTTATTTATTTATTTATTTATTTATTTATTTATTTATTTATTTTAAGTTTTATTTTTCTCATTAGTTACATTTTGTTAATTCTGTATCCCAGCTGTATCCCTCCTTCCCTCCCCAGTACCACCCTCTCTCCCTCATCTCCTCCCTGCCCCTTTCCAAGTCCACTGATAGGGGAGGACCTCCTCCCCTTTCATATGACTACGTTTTGTCAGGTATCTTCAGGACTGGCTGCAAAGTCCTCCTCTGTGGTCTAACAGTACTGTTCCTTCCTTGGGGGGTGGGGAGGTCAAAGAGCCAGTCATTGAGTTCCTGTTAGAAATAGTCCTTGTTCCCTTTATGGTTTCCCTTTATGGGAAACCAATTGATTACTGAGCTATCACGGGTCACATCTGAGCAGAGGTTCTAGGTTTTATCCTCTTATTGTCTTTGGTTGAGTGTCCATCTCAGAAAAGACCCTGTGCCCAGATATGTTTGGTCCTTGTGGAGTTCCTATCTCCTCCACATCAAACTCCCCTTCTTTCGTATGATTCCCTGCACTCTGCTGAAGGTTTGGTTATGAATCTTAGTATCTACTTTGATACACTGCTAGGTAGAGTCTTTCAGATGCTTTCTGTGGTAGACTCCTGTCATACATTCAATGCACATCCCATTTGTCTTTCTAAATGAGGATTGATCATCATACCCCATGTCAACTTTCTTGATTATCTTCTTTAGGTGTATAGATTTCATTATGTTTATCATATCTTTTAGGTCTATATAAGCGAGTATATTCCACTTCCACCAGAAACCAGCTATGCTGTCTGAGCTTGTGTTGGCCTATCCCATACATGACTCCTGGCTACTGACCATGAGAAAGGAAGCTAGTCTAAACCAAGATGTGCTGGCAATCGAAAATGCACACTGTGTTATTAAAATGTAGTATGAAAAATACTTACCTAAAACCTTCTTGATACTTTATACAGACTATAGGTTTAAATGGTAATGTTTTGGACAGACTCCACTAAGTAAAGCACAATCTAAAACTCACTGTGATTCCAGCCCCTTCGACAAAGTGAGAGACCACGACTGCTATCGTGAATTTACATTAAAAATAGCAGTAATACGATTTCCTATTTTTGACTATCTATATCTAAACCTAAGGTATTTCACCTGAAGATTTTTCTTTTTCATACTAGCCTTTCTCCCTTGAATCCATTGTCTCGTTTTTATCTTTTTGCATTTTAAACTCATTTAAATCTGAGAGCTTTTGTGCTGTTTAGTGGCAGGATGGTCCAGATTCTGTCTTCCATCCTCCAGCCTTATCCACGGCTGGAAATGACCCCCAAGGGTAGCTCATTAGCTCCCAGGGTTAGATACAGTAACAACCTTACTTGCTGAAGTTATCGAACGAAATACTTTTTTTTTCTAGAGTTTTATGGCCATTGCTTTGATTTGACTTCGAAAGTTTTAAGAAACAGTTTGTTAATTCACGACTCTGTCTGTTTTTGTCTCCGGGCAGAATGTGACAGTGGCCCCTGGTTCAGCCGACAGGGTGGCTAATGGTGACGGGCTACCTGGAGATGAACAAGCCGAGAACAAGGAAGAAGACACAGCCGGTGTTGTGAAGTTCGGATGGGTGAAAGGTGTGCTGGTGAGAAAACTTCTGTGTTTACACATGAGAGCCAGCCCCTGGGTAATCCGGCGGGATTCCCCAGCCAGCCCTGGACACCAGAGTTGCAGGGTTAGTTGGGCTTGGCCCGGCATCACTTTCCATCCTCACTTTCGTCCGCAGGTAAGATGCATGCTGAACATCTGGGGAGTCATGCTTTTCATTCGCCTCTCCTGGATTGTTGGAGAAGCCGGAATTGGTGAGCAATTTTCTTCCCTCCTAAGAAATGTTTATGTAAATGACAAGCTTAATAACCAACTTGCTTCGCCTTCAATGCTGCCGAAGATGAAGGTCACAGAAGTCATTTACCCTTGACCATGTTTTTTTCCCCCTCTGACAATGTCAAGGAGGAAAGAGGAGGCACTAACTCCTATGAGACTGGAATTTTCCAGTTTGCCCAGCAGGTGAATGTTCAGTTGAATATTTCTACCTTTTATAGAGTTTCAAACATATGGGTGGGTAACGCATATTCATTTCAAATAATTATGGCCACACTTTGGGATACATTGACATTTACCTTTTGTTTGCCTCAGACTGTCCCACTTACGAAGACTGGCAAAACTTCACTAAGCAAAAGCAACTTGTGGGAAACTGGTAGAACGTATATGCAAATACATATGTGACCTGATTAGTAAAATTCTGCATCGTTGAACATTTTACTAAGAACTTAACTGTATTATTGTCAGATGCCAGCAGTAAAAAGCCAATGCTCATAAAATATGCTCATCTATAAGGTTAAAACGATAGCTAAAATGACTCCAGTCATTGTAAATGTTTACTTACAATGCAGGTAAACAATTTTAAAAAAATGGTATTATTCCAGGAGTGATGAGTTAATGTTTTTCAACTACATCTCACTTAAAATATCCAGTTGCGCATAGTGTTGTTTTTTTTTTTATTAAGAACGTAAAATTCACTTGTAAACTTATTTGAGTTTTACCAAAGTTCCCAACTTACTGTGATAAAAATCAACAGTGTGCTTGCTGTTCTATATACCTGAAAACAAGATGGATTGAGTTTTGAGGGGAGACTCAGTTAAATATTGATGTGGAGAACACGGATGCTGAGTTGTGCCTTCCTGGGCTGCTCGGGGAGATATCTCAATTTGTGTATGAAAGGTACCCGGTGTCACCCACCTCCTTCAACACACAGCTGAACTAGCAGCTGACAACTGGAGCAGGAGGGCTGCCCTCTCACACGGAGCACTGAGCCAGCCCCGTCGGTTTTTTTCCATGTTTCTTGTTCAGCAGCTGCTATGTTCCTGACAGAAAGGGTGCTTGCCAGTTTGATGATGCGTAGCAAATGAATGCCTACAGCCTCAGGGTCCAAACTAAGTATATGCCATTCCATGGAAAATCTGCAGCTTAATATTGCCAAGGCTTTGCTCCAGGGCTTCATGCAAAATTAGGTTTTTTAAGGGCAGTTTAGTAACTTACTGAGATCATCAAGACGCAGTTCTTTGTGTGGAGGTGTGAGCAGAGACAGCCAAAGGCAAGAGTAATTCTTTCTAATGTACATATTTAACACCCATATGCTTGGGCAACAATCTGAACGTTAATCAGATCTGACTCTGCTCGGCACAGCCAATCCAGTTTCACGTTTATTACAAAGGTATCAAGGATCCTCTCGCTGCTAAGCAATTTGCTTCACTTTTAGCCATTAGTGTATCCAAACAGAATCGTTCCGCTTGTATGGTTGAATCAGGCATAGAAGTCAACAGAGATCATTCTAACCAGATGATGTGCATTGAGTTTCCTGTTGATGGGCATTGTTAGTGTTGTTTATTTCTCATGCTCTTTTGAGGCTCAGACCGAATTTAGTGAGTAGCAGAAACATCTTATCAACTTACATTGCTACAAACCTGAAGATTAGTGGGTGAAAGTCACTGTTTGGTCCTATTTGGGTTTTGTGCATTGCTGCTTTTCTCACGCATTTGGCTGACTTCCTTCCTCAGGGTTGCAGATGCTCCTCTCTAGGCTTTGGGTTAAATTGAAATCCTCCTTCAGGTCCTGGATCATTTTTGCCAAAACTTGAAAATCTCCATCTGGTACTTTCCCAATGTCAGCCTCTTTGAGTTCAAGAGTCTGGATAACTTCTCAGGAGGGACTTCTTATTTTGCTTCCTGTTTCTTTAAGACCCAATCTATGGTAGCATTTGATGAAGCAGCTCCTGTCATACACACAGACACACAGACACAGAGACACCTTGCTGGGGCAGTATCATTTCCAGTTAACCATTAGGCAGGGAAGTTGGGTGTGAAAAGTCACTTACAGTCTTAAGTTTTATTTTGCAGCTAACACATAAGAAAATGAGTTAATTCTCCTCCAATCAATTATTCGAAGATATAGCTTTAAAAAAAATAAAGAAAAGGAAAAAAATCTGGCTGAATGGGCAGATACAAGTTGAGTGGGCTCATCTGCAGGAGGGAGGAGCAAAAATCATCTAACAGCAGAGGACGGGCTGCAGAAGCCAGGGGTTCACTTTCAAAGCTCTGAACCTAGCATTTTAAAGAGGCTTCCCTGGCACTTCCTGCAGCAGGTCACGCAAGGGTCACATTTTGACGAATCAACAAACTGAACGAATGCTCTCTCAGCTGCCTTCCACCCTAGGATTTTCTGTTTGTTTGTTGGCCTGACTGTAAGAAAGAAGCAAGCTTCTCGTTGTTTTAAGAAAGAAGGTGGTGTTTAGTTTGGAGAAATGTTCACAGCACGATAGGCTGAGGTGGGAATTGCTCAGGAGACAAGGAACAGGAACAAAATGAAGTTAGAGTGGGAGGAGCGCGCGTAACCCGAACGTGTGGGCCCGGGCAGCGTCTAGAGCGTCAAACATTCACCCCCAGACATCCTGAAAGCAAACTAATGTGTAGAGGCTGGGGATAAATTACCTTTCGTGGCATCAGCGCCTGAGAACACACAGGAGAAGAGAAATGACGTTCCCCCCCCCCCCCCCGCAGTGTCCTTGTGACACAAGACCTTTAGTAGCGCTCTTTCTTACAACCTCCTTTCCAAGGGTCTACGGCAGGGGTGGTGAAGTGTGGGAGAAAACAGCACAGAGCTAAACACTCTGAGCGGAGGCGCTGAGCTCCCCACAACCTTCCCCCTGGATTCTGTGTCACATTTACGGAGGGTAGGCGGGGACACGTTTTCTTCTGTTCATCTTGGGTTCATTTCCTGCAGCCTCATGCGTTAGACGGTCAGGTGGCAGGTTAGCAGGAGAGCATGTTTATTAATGTTTACTAGCACGGGGAGGACTCGGCGGTGAGTGGCGATTCAAACGAGCGGTCACAACACTCATATGCCATCCTAGCAGCAGAACAACCGAACTGCAGAGAAGTGATCAGATGAAGAAAGAGAAGGAAATTCGAGTGTCTAGGGTGAGCAACTGCGGGAAGGAAAATCAATAGAGAAATCTGCTAGGAGAGCAGGACTGGATTCCTGCGGAATCTTCTGCAGGCAGATAAGGGCCTGCCCTTGTCTCTGTGGGTGAGCATCTTCCTTGTAGACAATGGAGGCCTGAGCATGCTCACACACGCCTGTCCCCACCTGTGCAACTAGGAAAGCTAAGAGTGCTTATGTTCACTGTGTAGCTAAAAAAAAAAAAAAAACAAAAAACAAAAACAAAAACAAAAAAACACCTTATACCACAATGATGATATATTCTAGCATCTTCTTTGCCTCCCTAAAAGACACACACACACACACACACACACACACACACACACACACACAACCGCTGTTTGTTTCTTGAAACTAAAAATGTGTGTGCCTTCCTTTTGGCCTTTATCAGTTTCTCCTCATAATCACTGCCCTTCTGAGCCATAATATCCTCGACGGTGGCTTTTTTCATTCCGTTCTGTTTGTGCCTTGCACATCTCACACTGCCAACCACACAGCTGGATATGTGGCTGGCTTTTCACAAACACTAGCATTCATGAGTGCTGTGGGTTTGAAGAGTACCACCAGCCCCTCCATGGACTGTGACACCAACCGCACGCGTCCACTCTTTCTGATTTAACTGCCATTTGAGTGCCAGAAAAATAAGGAAATTCTGAGGTCACACAGCAAATTAGTCAAGGTAGCTAAATTTGGTTCTGTCCGATTACCTATCCACCTAATGAACAATTTGCTAATCAAGAAATTTACCTGGAAAGTTAGTATACCCTTCATTTATACTAATGGCTGGAGGCCATTAGTAGAACTTCATCAGAGACCAAGCTCATGCTTCCTTTTGACCGACCAGAATTGTTTACTTGGGGACAACACAGCTCTGCACCTTCCAGATATTGAATCTCCTAGTACGTGAATGGCGATTCTGTGGCCAGCTTGTTAAATTCAAGTGACCACCTACGTCAAAATCAGTAACCACCTAGGTTCGTTTGCTTTTATGTAAGTGACCCAATGAGCTGTTCCACCATTTAATCGCACTTATTTTTCCTCTCTCAACTGAGGTCTCGGTGTGATTATCATCGGCTTAGCCGTGACGGTGACAGCCATCACTGGTTTATCCACCTCTGCTATCGCCACAAATGGATATGTCAGAGGAGGTAATAAAGTTGTGAGCCAGACCATCATGTGTAAGGTAAAGGGGACGCAGGCTCCCATAGCTCACCACTGACCTTTCTGGGGTGTTTTCAAAGGTAATGCAAGTTGGTTCCTTTTCTCCCCCACCCTCCAGGCAAAGGCGCACAAGAAAAATGAAGAAGGATTTAACCTTTGTCAAATCCCCAACTTTCTCATTCAGGTTCCTCTCAAGCAAGAGAGAAGGTCAAATGTCATGTTTCCCCTTTCACAGCCAGGGTAGCTTCTCTCCCAGGACACCTGAGAAAGTCAGCTTTTCCTTTCCAGGGCGGCACGTTGGACTGTGTTGACTCTTGGATGCCATCCTTCATCATAATGGGTGCTTCTTGGACTTGACCTTTATATGAGGCATAGCAACGCTATTCTTTGTACTCTTTGTGCAAAGACACTCCACAGGGGCCAAAGGCATGGACCTGAAAAGTTAAATCAAAGGCAGCAGAACTTGCAGGAATAGGGAGCCCAAGGAAGAAGAGTAAAACGTAATATCTCTGTCTTTCATTGCTAACAGGTCTTGGAGTTGTTATAATTCTTCTTTCCACCATGGTAACCTCTATCACTGGGTTGTCAACTTCTGCAATAGCAACAAACGGGTTTGTTCGTGGAGGTAAAATCTCTAAGATTTCTAATATCCACGTCCCACGCCACGGGTAGGCATACGTTTTCTCTATTCTTGGTTACTGACGGGCACGAGAAGTATGGGCAAGCTGATTGAGGAGAGCAGTGAGGTGAGTGCAGTCAAGTCCAGCCAGGTCACGGCTAACGGGATCCGGGCGCCTTACAGGTCCTGCTCCAGATGTGCGGAGTCATTGGGTAAAGCTCTTATTTTCCAGGTCAGTCGGTACGCTTCCTGCTGGTGTTTCTCAGGAAATGACTGGTCGCTGTGTCTGCCCTTTCAAAGTCCAGTGCATTTCAGGTGCCTCCTGCATTGTGGCGGAATGGGACCGGTTAGAGCATTTCAGGTTCCTTCAGGGAGACTGACCTTCTGTGACCTTCTGCTTGGTGAAGTAATGGTGATGTCTCTACCTACCGGAGCCAAACAACTTTGTTGGGGGTTTTGCAGGTCTGGGAGTCATCATCATTGGCCTGAGCGTAGTAGTGACAACACTCACAGGTATTTCTATGTCTGCTATTTGCACAAACGGAGTGGTGCGAGGAGGTAAGCCAACTGAGTTCTCGTGACTATAAGCCCTGTTTGTGTATCTTGACTAGAGGTGTTTAGTAGCTAAACGTGACGATTGTGTTGCTAACCAAGCCCCCAAGGCTTGAAATAAAACAAAAATAAAGTGATCTTAAAATGACGAGATAAATTTCCTCTCAATTAAAAATGAGGAGATCTGGAGGAAGGGCTCCTTTGAGCCTTTCCTGTGATAAGTCTCACTGGGCTCTCAGTACTGGGGTGAGCTGTACTGGCTCCTTCCTGTGCCCTCCCACCCCCAGCCTGGGTGCACCCAAACACCCCATCTCATGGTGGTGATCTCCACACAGCCAACACCCTTGCACCCACCCTTCAGGTTCTCCCCAAACACCCTGCTTCTATTGAGAAACATCATCAAAAAATATTTTTTAAATATATGAGACAAAGAATGACTATCAAGTTTCCAGGAGCAGTCACGCCTGAGTAAAAAACAAAGTAGATTAAGTTTGTCACTCTTCTAATTGTCCTCATCCTGTTCACTGGGACTCCACTGATTTAAAAAATAATAATAATTTTAATTTTTCAGTTTTGTTTTGTTTTGTTTTTTTTGAGACAGTGTTTCTCTGTGTGGCCTTGGCTCTTCTGGCCTCTAACTCACAGAGATCCACCTGCCTCTACCTCCTTGACTGCTGGGATTACAGGTGTGTACCACCAGGCTCCACGAGATTTATTTTTTTCTTAAGGTTTATTTTTGTCTTTAATTATTTGTGTGTGTGTGTCAGTATGTAGGCATGTCCAAATGAGTGCAGGTGCTAGAAGAGGCCAGGAGATGAAGTGGAATTATGGGTGGTTGTGAGCCACTCGACTTCAGGTCAAGTCTTGACTTCCGGTCCTCTGTAAAAACAATACACTCAACCACTGAGCCATCGCTTGCTTTTGTGTGGTTTTGGTGTCTTACTCTGCAGAGCCAGAGTGGCCTTGAATCATGATGATCCCAATTCCTTGATTACAGGCTTGAGTGCCATCCCTGACCCATCCCTAACACACACAAACACACACACAAACAGGGTCTTCTAAAACATCACCCTACTCACAACACACCTTCTCTCTCAACTCACTTTCATTAATTGCTTTTTTTTTTTTTTTGAAAGTTTGTTTTCTGCGAATGAGTCTTTTTTTTTTTCCCCTGCACCTATCTGGGAGCACCAGTGTAAGTCTGGTGCCCGAGGCAGCCTGAGGAAGGTGTCAAATGCACTCCAATAGGCTGTGATCCACCACACAGGTGCTGAGACTCGAACCTGGGTCCTCCGAAAGAGTGGCAAGTGTTCCTAACCACTGAGCCAAGTATCTCTTGTTTTGACTGTTAAGTCACTGCCCAGCCAATTCTTTGAGCAAAGCTAACTTTTAAACTCACATATTTGTTCTGCCAGGTAATATGTCCCATTCCGAGAACTTGTTTCCAGAACGAGCACAGTCCCTCCTCTGTAGAAAGTGGTTCGGTTCTGAGTTCGCTTGCCCCTTGTTGACTCTGCAGACCCCATACCTAGCTCCACCTTGGAAGTCATTATGGTGTGTGTCTCCAGCCCTCACCCAGCATTAGTGCCAGTTACTTGCTCTAGCCGGAAGCTGCTCCCAGTCTTCATGTCACCTGTGTGTGGCCGCAGATAAAGCTGTTCTCCAGTGATCGAGGAAGAACACTGTTCCCAGCCCTCCCCCTTTTCTTCTTTTCCATCCACCATTCTTACTGTGAGAAGTCAAGGTTCGTTAGGCTAAAACCAGAAAACACACCCCCCAATCCAGGTGCTGCTTTGCTGGTTAGCTGCCAGACCTACCCCCTTGCCCCCACCTCCCGAGAGCTGGGGTCACAGGCTTGCGCCTCGACACCAGAATAAAACAGGTTCTGTCATTGTGTTTTCTTCCCTGGCCTGTCAGTTCCTGGAAATTTTGAATCTAAAATTTTACCTGTTACGTTATGAATCTGGATTCGTTAATAATGTCATGTCAAAACATCTAGCGATGTTTTTTGTTGTTGTTGTTTTGTTTGTTTGTTTGTTTTTTAGAAAGACAAAGCATTTGGGTAAAGCTTACTGTGTTAATTCAGTAGGCCGAGTTCGATTGTCACGCCGTTTGCAGGCTGTACAGAACGCGAGGCAGGGTTAACTACAAGCCGTCGCTGTGGATGGCGCAGGGCTTACAAAATTACTAGAAAGCCGAAATGTTCTTGTGGGAGTGATTAACAGCTGGAACTTAGCCACGGGGAGAGAAGATCTTGGCATCCTCCTCCTCCGGGTGACCCGCGCTGCTCTCCTTGCAGGCGGCGCCTACTACCTGATTTCCCGGAGCCTGGGGCCCGAGTTCGGTGGGTCAATAGGCTTGATTTTCGCGTTCGCCAACGCAGTGGCTGTTGCCATGTACGTGGTGGGGTTCGCGGAGACCGTGGTGGACCTTCTTAAGGTAACTAATGCTCTTTAGCAAACAGAATAACTCAGCCTTCTCTCACAGGGTCCGAGGGGAGAGCTTGATGTCAAGATAAGAGAAGGGAAAGCTCGGTGTCGGGGCGGGGAGCCCCAGGCATCGCCATCCGGCTTTGAGTTCAGCTCTCATCCGACCATCTAGGAAGCTTTAAACCACTTTCCTACCCATCCGAGACTTAGTCGCTAAAGCAGAAAGAGCAGCTGATATGCATTTCACAGGAGTTCAGGGCAGAGCAGACTCAAACCAAAATAAAGCAAAAATGTATATGGGGAGTGTGTGAAATACGAAGCCTCGGGTAGACAGCGGGCACCGTTTCCTGCTGCCACACGGCTGCTGCCCACAAGGTTTCCGAAGATGAAGAGAGTTCAAACGTGAGAACGTGAGAACGGTTCGCTGTAGGAAAGGAGGCCCCTTCTCTCCAGGTGCTCTGGGAACAAGCTTTGTGAGCCTGAGTAGTGCGGTGACTCCTCCTCTTCCTCACCTCCATCTCACGCTAATAAGAGGCCTAGCTGAGGTCTGCTGGTAAGAGCACCGCTGTGTGGAAATGACACAGCGCACTGTGCACTGCTTACGGTATGCTCTCTTCAAGGGGTGCATTACCGAGTTTGTGTTCTGTTCTTGGGTTGAACATCACTTATGTTCCGGTATTCACCTTGTAAAACCACACGACTTTATTCTTCTAAAATTCCCCTTGGCCCATAAAAGTAACTAGCCCTCTTGCTGAAACACAACATAAAAAGGTGGGGACACACTCACTTTTAGTTAGTGCTGCAATAGGTCCCAAAGCTGTGACTAGAAGGAATTTCTAACATCTCTAGCCCCTAGTTTTGCCTATCAAAGGCCTACATCACGGATAAATAAAATCAGATTTTTTTTTTCCTTCTGGAACTTAGGAATATTTCACTTTCTTGTTATCCTGTGTGGCCCCAGGTTTTTGTGCACAGTATCTTTTCTTCTTGTTGAATGTTATTAAAAAAAAAAAAAAAAAAAAAAGGCTGACTGCAAAGAGCTATTTCTAATCATTTGAGTAATTCCCTTCCCTCCCCCTCCAGGAGAGTGATTCCATGATGGTGGACCCAGCCAGTGATATCCGGATCATCGGTTCCATCACTGTGGTCATCCTTCTAGGGATCTCGGTAGCTGGGATGGAATGGGAAGCAAAGGTGAGCATCTCTGAATAACACTGCGACAAGGGCTGGCCAAGTCCTGAGTTAATCACAGCAATGAAAGGAACACCACAGCCACAAAGAAAACCGCTGTGGTCCCTCAAAAGGCGTTAAGTACAGGCGAGGTGGGCATCATAACACTGAGCATCACCTCTGGTCAAGACTGCCACGTTTCATCTTGCTTGCTGCCCCTGTAGTGACACAGCCAGCAAGACTGATGCTTTTCATGTACAGCCATTGTCCAGACCAGCAGCACTGAATACTGGAGACCCGGCTCCCATCCTGGTCTCAAGCCCCGAGCAGAAGGGAGGGCAATGAGAATGTCCAGATTTGAATAGCTCAGAGTGTTGTCACTTCTAAGGTGGCCCCTTCCCTGTGTTTGTCGCAGGCTCAAGTGATTCTCCTGGTCATTCTTCTCGTTGCCATTGCAAACTTCTTCATTGGGACTGTCATTCCATCCAACAATGAGAAGAGAGCCAGAGGCTTCTTTAACTACCAAGGTGAGTGTGACCAAGCAGTCACTTCTCGATAAATCTGTCTATACTTTTCTCCCCATTGCTACCTTTCTCACCTCATCCCCAGCCACCAGAATCCCAACATGGTCTGGGAAAGGGCCTAGAACTGATTCAGGAAACCTGTGGTTGGGTCTCAACTCTTGATCATCAACTGGACGGGTTATACACATCCTGATTGGTCCTCAGATTTTCTCACTAAATTAATGACAACTTCCTGAGGAAACTTTAAGAAGTAAACATGTAAAGTATTTAAAATTTAAAAGCAATTTTGAAAAGTCAGTCTTTTTCAGCTGAAGATGTGAAAATCTCCTGTAAGTCTGTGAATACTGGGTTTTCACTAGATGGTTAGACAATTAGAAATAGAAACTACATGTAGGGAGGAAGAACCTGGAGCTGGGAAAAATAATCAGCCTTGCAGAGCACTAATGTCGAATCAAGTCTTCTTGTCTTCCTGAGAAGACAAGAACATTATAAAAACTTTGTAACATTATAAAAACACATACCTAAAAAAGCGGGTTATGGGTAAATTACTTGTAATCTCCTTGTGATAACACCACAGCGTGCAAATTCGACTCTTCTCTCCCATTCTGCTTCTCCTACTTTCTTACTTTCTACCCTAGCTTACTAAGAATTCACAGATGAGGCTTTAAAGATATGGATCATTTCCTTCGCTCTGTATTCACTTGCCAGTACCTGTGACTCCCTCGCCATATTTAAAAGCCGTGTCATTCTTTTGTATTGCTCTGCAGTGGTTATCTCATCTGCTTTGGTTTCACTGTCCTTTCTTTTCCACCTTTCCCCCTACTTCATATCTTCTGATGTTTTCGACTTGTTGTCCTCCTCATCCCAGAGTCCCATCTTTGGCCAGTTCCTCCTCTTCCTCTTTCTGTCTTTTCTCCAGATTGCTTCCTTTCATCTCAGTGATTTGATGGCAGCCTACAGTGTTGTTAGGGCCTCACCATATTCATATTCTTATTGGTACGAGGACCTAAGATCTGAACTCTGAATGGAAGAGCAGAGTAGCAGCAAACGAGGAGCAAGTCTGTAGAGCAGGCTACTTGCCACTGGTCTCCTACAGTTTCTCAAAGGCCTAGGAAGGTACAGAGTTTAAAGGTACTTACATGCGAGAATGCTATGAGGGGATATGTGAACAGGTGTGGTATATCTGTGAGTATGCTAATATGCTCCTGCAAGAATTGTTCTTGGTAATATTTGTTTATTTATTTTCATATATTTTAATGTAAATTTTTTTCATACAATGTATTCTGATCAGTTTTCCCTTCCACAACTCCTCCTCCCCAATCTGTCCCATCTCCTCACCTACCCAACTCCCAGCCCTTTCTTTCTCTCTCTCTCTTTAGAAAACAGGTAAATAAACAAATAATTTAAAAATAAAAAACAAACAAAGCCAGCAGGAAACACACAGTCACACAATAACAAAACCCAGCAGGGCAGTACTAGCACATGCCTTTAATCCCAGTATTTAGGAGTCAGAGGCAGGTGGATCTCTGAGTTCGAATTCAGCCTGTGTACAGAGTGAATTCCAAAACAGCCACATCTACACAGAGAAAGCCTATCTCAAAACAAACAAAACCAACCAACAAACAAAAATATAAAACACAAAATTGGAAACCCCTAATATTCAAGCAAAAGAACAGCAAGACCAAAAAAAGTTCAAACAAAGCAATATGAGACAAAAAGTCTTCAAAAATACCACTGAGTTTGTTGTTGAACAGCTGCCACTCGGCATGGGAGCTCTCATAAAGGTGGTTTGTATGACCCCTGAGACTCTATTTGAAAAGGCAATTTTTTTTCTTCTGCAAGAATTTCTTATCCCTGTTTCCATTTCTTCTGAATTTAAGAAGACAAGCAAGCTAATGGCTATTTCAAAGCTCTGTCTAAGACCTAAATGTGCACCTAAAGGACAGACACCTTGGTACTCGAGGAGGAGTAAACAACTGTGCAAGGTCACTCAGCTTTGATGCTGAGGCTCTGTTTTCATTTAGAAGCACAAAAGTCAAGAGCATAAGCTTCTACTGTGTGGCAAAACCCAACGTGATAATGTTCCTCTTGCTTGCTTTTCAGCATCCATATTTGCCGAAAACTTTGGACCAAGCTTCACAAAGGGTGAAGGCTTCTTCTCGGTCTTTGCCATCTTTTTCCCAGCTGCTACTGGAATTCTTGCTGGTGCCAACATCTCTGGAGACCTGGAGGTACGTAGTTTTCTCTGCTTTGTAGCCCTGGTGGTGAGAGTATAGTTAAGAATAGCATGAGAAGCTGTATCTAAATACGACTAAGAATATGACTTAAGTTCCAGAGACTAAAGAATGAAGGTTTCTGAATGGTTTCTTGGTTATTTATATGCTCTTTCTTAACTCACTTTCCTTTACTTCTGAATCTGGGCTCTAAAACAGGGGTGTGTTCAGTGACATCCAAAAACAAAGTGTATTCACAGTGTGTCATTTTCCAACAAAACGAGCAGACTACAGTGAGTTGCTATGAGAATCACACCTTCCCTTTTAAAATCGTGATGAATAAGAATACAAGACATTCAAGGAAAAAGAGAGCAAAACCAACAATGAACAGCCCCACGATCACTTAGTCCTCAGTTCACAGCATTCTCCATGAAGTGCTGTGGAGATCATCGTATTCGCTACAACAGTGATTTCAGTATTTTATAGAGGACCATTCATTAGCATGGTCAAAACAAGATCAGACTTTGTGGTTCTAGCACATATATGTTGGAGCTCATAACCCATCCAAGAGATCTACTTCAAAAGGTCCTCAAGGGCTCAGACAGGCCCCAGGCCCTGGTGTCACCTCTACTTTGGGGTCCACCCCTATCTTCAAGGTCCTGGATGATTAATCACTTCATGGTTTACATTTCTCCTAAGAATAAGACTGGAGTTGTAAAGCACAATTTGAATGAATCACTTCTGCTGACACCATCCATTCAAGTTTTACTTATGTCCTTACCTAGCTTCAAAGGACTCTACAAAACACATTCTGAAACACAGTAACACATACTCTGATAAAGTCTGAGGTGTTCCAATATCACAAAGAGAAGGGATAGAGGACAATATGAGCCTCTTTCATAAAAAGGACACTGGTTTTACCTCAAACACACACACACACACACACACACACACACAAGATACAAATCTTACCTCAATGTATTTACAATCAACTTCAGAAGATGGGTATTTGCAAGAGTCATCAGGAGATGTGTATTAAATGAAAAACATGCATGGACCTATGGGGTTGTGACATAAAGATACTGAACAAATGGTTGATGGGTTGGTCAGGAGGAACTTGGGAAGCAAAGGCTGGAAGTTGACTAGTGGGGGAAAACAAGGCAATCCTGGGCAGAGTCTGGTGTGAGAAACCTGAGGACAGACAGCAGGGAGAACCTGACGAGTCCAGAGAGCCACGCATGTGTCTCTCAAAAGGCAGCAGCTGTGGAGATGCTCATGAGGCAGTATCAAACTCTGTGGAAGTGGGCACTGAGCCTTTGGGTTCATTCTTCATGTATCTGCAGAGATAGCACGGTCTGAGTAGATATTGATGGAGTGAGCGAATGAAGGCATTTAGATTTGTTTTACTAGTGACTACACCACCATGGTGAATTCCTGAGCAGAGACAATGGCAGAAAAAAAAAAGTCATGCCAAAGATCCGAAAGTCAAAAACTTGTTCAAAACAGCTTCTCTCCTCATGTAATGAAATTGAGTCAGGAACTCCTGTTTTCTCACTAACTAGTAAAGCATTAGAGCTCACTGCTTTAAGCTTCCAGAAGGTACAGGCAGGCTTTTAAATTGGAAAATACTCCTTAAAAACAAGGTGCTTAGTCAATTCATCTTACGTAATGCCTGAATTAAGGCCACGTAGGAGACAGAGGTAAAAATCCCTGCTTTTATTAGAGTTAGAAGCAATGAAGAGTGTCCTTTACTATAAGCCATTACAAGTTGTATTCAATTCTGTTCTGTTAACACCGGTTTCACCATATTGAATTGATTTCAGGGCCTAGCAGATGAGGAAGAGGAGGCTCGGACTTAGCTAATGAGCTTAGAACAAGGGTAGAACAGCACAACCCAGGGGAGCAGAGGGTCCAGACCCCTAGGAAGGAAGACAGGACTGGAAGCTACCTCGTGGGGGAACTCGGCCAAGAGGAAGGCCAGGAGTCTAAGGTAGCAAGCAGGGGAGGGTGGAAGCAGGCAGGAAAATGAGAGGGAGGGAGAGATGAGAAAGAGATAAAAAGAGAGAGAAGGAGAGGGAAAGGGAAAGAGAGAAACTATTTAGCAAGTAGAGAAACCAACAGCCCATAGGCCCAAGAAAGTGAAAAAAAAAAATTATCTGAATAGTCAGAGCATAGTTGAAAGCCAGAGTATCCAAACATGCTAGGCTACCAAAGGTGAAAGATTCTGGAAAATCGCAAGGAAACTTCTGTATCTCTAGATTTTATTTCTCTCTGAGGGTGCTAAACAACAACAACAACGGTGTCAGTCCGATTTAGGAAATATTACTTATACAATATAGGGAGGTGTAGATGCGCACTCTGCTCCCAGCCTCAGAACCCTTCTCAAGATGGCACCTCCCACTGCAGAGAAGAGGGACCAGAAACAGCAGAGGTCCACCCTGAGCATTCCGTGAGCCATAGCAATACCACAAGAGCTCTTCTGCAAATCTGAACCTAGCAGATTTGGGAACTATTTCTGAGATGCAAAAATTAGGATATGGTCATTAGACTCCAAAAGGAGAAACCTGACTAGTTACCTGTATTCTGCCCTGGTTGGGGGTTTGGGGTCACACTCAATGAAGGGAGAGAGAAACAGTTTACATTGGGATTAATTCTGGAGGAGGATGGAAACTATGAATGTGTCAAATTCACCTGTTAGTACATTACAGTCAAGCTGACTCATGTGAGCGTGGACTCAGCAGCCTTAGGGCTTGTAGTAGGTGGCTACAAGGGAAAGGTCAGTCATCATGTCTGCGTTAACAAGGCTGCCTGCCCTCCACCTTCCCATCTCCTATCCAGTTACACTCCAGTACAGTCAGTTATGGCTTCACCCGGATCCCATGAAGTTTGTGTGTGTGTGGGGGGGGGTTCCGCTTGTGTTCATGTGTTGGGAGGCACGCACATACTCTCACACACACACTTGTGAAGGGCAGAGGCCAGTATGCGGTGTCCTTCCTCAGGACACTTGGTTTTGTTTTAAGGTACTGGAATCTGGGAGTCACCAACTAGGCTGGACTGGCTGGCCAGTAAGCTTCAGGCATCCACCTGCCTCAGCTCCCCAGTGCTGAGGCAGGTGGATTATAAGTGTGCCCCTACACCTACTTTCTTTTTTTTTTTTAACTTGGATTTCAGGAATTAAATTCAGACCATCAAGCTTATACAGCAAACATTTTACTGAGCTACCTCCCTGCTTTCAATAAATTCTTTTTTAAGGTTTATTTATTTTATGAAGGAGTGCTCTATCTGCACGTCCACCTGCACACCAGAAGAGGGCATCAGATCACATTATAGATGGTTGTGAGGCAGCACGTAGTTGCCAGGAACTGAACTCAGGACCTCTGGAAGAGCAGTCAGTGCTCTTAACTGCTGAGCCACCTCTCCAGACCTCCTCCATAAATCCTTATGCTATAAAGTACAATAAAAACAATCATGTGAATTAGATTAAGGAGAGCCCATTAAAGCCACCTTGCCCTCCTCTCCTTCTCATGAGCTGTTATATTGCACTTATCTGCTCATTGGCTCTGGAGACAGCAGTATAGAAGGAAGAGGCTGGAGATCTATGAACCCTTATGTGGATTTGCTCCTAGAAGAAGTAAAGCATACAGATTAGTTGCACAGAGCATATGGATGGCTGCATAGAGATGATTAGACCCATGCAGAGCAGGTTTCCTTGTCTAAGTCATAAACTCCAGTGGTCAGGTTGTATCTATAGTCTTCTGGTGTGATCTTCTTGATCAAACTGATCATCACATTTAAGTTTTTTTTTAATGCTCAAATTTCATTTGCCTGTATTGATTGCTTATCTGTATTGATGAGACTTCTGTCCTCCAGCCAGCAGAATTTCACCTATTGAAATTGTATTTTTCTCTGTTCAGTATTTTTTACTCCTTCTGAATAACAGGTAACCTTCCTGTATGGGAAAAGTATGCATTAAAATGTTTAATAATTCTTAAATTGAATTAAATATAATCCAACATGCTGCTTGGAAGCTGTTTTGATCTAATTTAGAAGTCCCTTCCAAAATTAGGTATAATGTGGTTAATTTAAGTATCATGTGGATTCAGTTCAATGTATGTATATATTTATAAACAAGAGAAAAGCTCATTTTAAGGCATTCACTTGACCTTACCTCTTTACTGAGCTTACTTGTAGAAATGAAGAATTTTGAGAGACTGGAGAATTTAGTAAATGATCCTTTTTGCTCAGCCAGAAAGGTTTTTTGTTTGGATGGTTGGTTTTGGGTTCGTTTTTTAAACTAAGACAAGCACAAGCTAAGTATAAAACAACATATGCCCAGATATTGTCAATATGCCAGCTATGTTTGTATGTCTGATGCACCGACACACAAATAACAAGGGAAAGGAAGGGAGCTCTGACGGATTTCTATAAGATCTCTCTTTAGATGGGTGTGTTCTCTTCAGTTCATCACTATTTTCTTTTAAATATTTGGATTTCTTAAAAATAAAACCACTTTTCTCCTTTTCTTTACTGAAAATAGGCTTCTTTTCATACAATATATTCCAATTACAGTTTCCCTTCTCCCTACTTCTCTCAATTCCTTTCCACCTTTACTCCCATCCAGATCCACTCCCTTTCTGTCTCTCCCTAGAAAATAAACAGGCACTAAGGGATAATAATAAAAACAAAATAAGATACAATAAGGTAAAACAAAAAAAAAATATAGGACCAAATAAGAAAAGGGACCAAAATAAAAACCAAGAAACACATATAGACCTAGAGCTATACTCGTTCACACATACAAGGATCCCATAAAAACACAAAACTGGAAGCCATAGTATGTTTGCAAAGGACCTGTGAGGCAAAAACAAACTTGACTTACCATTACAAGACAAAGACCCTCCAAAGATGCTGTTGAGATTGTTTTGCGTTGGCCATCTATGAGGAATGGTTTGATTCCCAGTGAGACTCCCTTGGAGAAAACTACTTTCTCATTTGCAAGTGGCTATCAATTGGAGATTGCTTCTGCTTTAGGGAGGGGGCATGTGTCCACTTTTCTTTTCGGCTCTAGGACCTTACCTGATGCAGACTGCTGCGAGCTCTGTGAGTTTATATACAGCACGAAGCTTTATATCCCATGATCCGCTCTAAGCCAGAGGTTCTCGACCTTGGGGTCACAACCCCTTTGGGAGTTGCACATCAGATATTTACATTATGATTCCTAGAAGTAGCAAAATGACACTTACGAAGCAGCAATGGAATCATTTTATTATGCTTAGGGTCACCACAACCTGAGGGGGTGGTGTATCAAACTGCATTACAGGGTCATGACATTAGGAAGGTTGAGAACCACGGACACTCCATCCAAAGGACATTCACTTTGCCACCTGATAGACAGTTTCTTTAAACCCTGCCTTAGGCAGCGCAGTGCAACATTGTGAAAATACAGAAATAACTCCTAGCACTCGTGTTTACTACTCAGTTTGTTTTCTCCTCTGCAAATGTTCTCACAGGATCCTCAGGATGCCATCCCCAGAGGAACCATGCTGGCCATTTTCATCACTACTGTTGCCTACATAGGAGTTGCTATTTGCGTAGGTGAGTGGAACCTCTGTGATGTCAGAAATGCAGGGAGCCCAGTGGTTTTTTGGCTCTCAGTGGCACATAAGTAAATAGAAAGCTTGTGTGCATGTGTGTGTGTGTGTGAGAGAGAGAGAGAGAGAGTGTGTGTGTGTGTGTGTGTGTGTGTGTGTGTGTGTGTGTGTTTAAGGCAGCAACTTTATTTCCCTTCTTAGTACTTAGTGGTTTGTATCTTTGGGGGGTGGGGGAATTGATGCAATTAAAATGCAATGCTGGCATCTTCAGACCAGTGCCCCTCCTTGCCAGCCTTGATGACTGTACTGCCGAGAAAGCTGCCACTTCTAACACTCGGCTCTCTCGCTCTGTGAGGTAAGTGAGAACCAGGGAAGAAGCAATAAAAAAAATCAAACAAAACCCAAACCCAAACCTGGCAAAGGAAAATTATGAAAGATGAGGAATTCAGAACAATATTTCTGACACTTCCAACTTGGAAGTGTCGCTGATACCAACTGCCAGAAAATCAGAAGAGTCCCAGCTGTGAGCAGTGTAAAAGCCAACCCCATGCTTCTCAGTAAGCAAAGAACATGCTTATGCATCTTTTCCAGCTGCTCACAGCTGCTTTGGTTCTACCTGCTGCCTGAAGCCATACCTTCTCCTGCTTAGGGCCCCTGCGCGCTTATGCCAGAGTGGGGAGGAAGGACATGTGTTTTCCAACAGGCAGAGAAGAAACCCTCTTCAGTGCACAGAGAGGAATGCCAGCCAAGGTTGGATAACTGTGGAAGCCTGGTGGCAATTTGATCAAAGGTTAAACTCCAGTAGTCCTCTGCTTACTGTAAGAAAAATTGGAAGAGTCCATATATTTTAAATTTAAGACTGTTGCCTACCTTGCTGCTTCTTGTGTGAGGAACCTGCTAAGGTGTTTACTGTCCTGTGGTGACCCCACCTGAGTTACAAAGGAAAATATTTCCTGATTCAATACATTAGGACATCAACAACTTTAGCCACTGAAGCCACCTGAGGTTAAGTCTTCCAAATGTGGATTCAGGTGAGGAGATGTGTGTCTAAGAAACAGAGTTGAGGAAATGGGTAGCTATAGAGTTCATGCATGCAATCTTTATCTTTCCCAGTCTGGCTTATTTTGCTTAGCATCATGATTTCTAGTTCTACCCGTTTCCTGGCAAATAATATAATTTTATTCTTCTTAAGGACATTTGAGAAGGACTCAGGTTCAGTTCCCGGCACCTACATGGTGACTCCCAAGTATCAGTGACTCCATTTCCAAGGAATCCAGTGTTTTCTTCTGACCTCTGCAGGGACAGGCACATACATGGTGCCTAAATGCATGCATGCAAAATATATATATATGTATATATATACATATATATATGTGTGTGTGTGTATATGTATATATATATATATATACATAGAAACAAATAAGTAATCTTAAAAAAGTGTTTTAAATACTCACAATTCTGTTTCTAAGAATTTACCCTGGAGAAATATTCTAAAATTTAGAAGAAAAAGTTAATGCATAAAGACGTTCATTAGACAATATTTATAATATGTCTAATGGAAGTATTCAAATGTGTGAAAATAACAAAACAGAAGCTTGCTTCATCATTAATATTAATGGTTACTTAGGGAACATTAATGTTTTATCCCAAACATTGCCTTATTACTCATTTTCTTCAGTTTTCATACAAAGGGATGAATGCCATTACAACATCCCCATAAATATCTGTCAGTACACTTGGTTCTGAGCTGTTCCCCTCTCCACTGCTCTTTCCCATGCCCGCTCCTTGCCTCTCTCTTCCCATGTCAGTTCCTGCTTCTGCATTCCTATTTCCTGTGTCGTATTTCTATTTCTCACCTCCATTAACACCACTTTCTCTTCTCTCATCATCTCCATTCTGGTTACATGACCTAAAAACATGCATAATATACACACATATTATAATTTTAAATCTAGGTTCTGTGTCTGAAAGAAAACATGCGGTATTTGTCTTTCTGAGACTGGTTTGTTTCATTTAACATTATGATTTTCTAATGTGTCTGTTTTCCTGCCACTATCATGATTGCATTTTCCTTTCTGATAGCATAACATTCCTTTGTGTAGACATAGCACTTTTTTTTTTTTTTACCCATTCATATGCTGACAGACATTTAAGCTACTTCCACGCCCTGGCTATTATGGACAATGCAGTTACAAGTATGGATGTACACATATCTCTTTGGTATATCTATCTAGACCCCTTTGGGTATATATCCAAGAGTATATCTGGGTCTTACATTAAATCTACTTCCAGTTCTTTAGGAAGGTTCATGCTGGTTTCCACAGGGGCTACACAGTTTACATTTCTACCAATGGCGACTAAGATTTCATCTTTCCTCACATTCCCAGCAACCTATGCTTTGTGTCCTTTTTCCTAAGTTTATATTTTTTGATAGATATTAAACTATAATTACATGACTCCCCCCCCCTTCCCTTTTCTATATGTGATGTTCCTTTAAGCATCTTCTGCAGTGGGTTTGACAAACATCACTGTCTTAGTCTGTGCTGGTCGTGAGGTGCCCTTATTTCTCCATCAATCTTGTCCAACAGTTATTTGCCTTGGGGACTTGGAATGTCTCACTCCAAATTTTCTTGGCTTTGAGGGTGGCCTGTGAGATGTCTGATGTTATTCTGTTGCTTCGGCCTTTGTAGATGAGTTGGCATTTTCTCCTTTACAGCTCTAAAGACAGTCTCTTTGCTCTGTATTTCTGACCTCTTAATGTCAGGGAGATTCTTCTCTCGTTGCATCTATTTGGAGTTAAGTGTTTCTGGTTCTGGAATCTCTGCGTCTTTCTCTGAATTTAGAGAACTCCTGTTAAAATTTGGTGGGTTTTTTATGCTTTTAGTGTTTCTTCTGTGCTGTGAGTTCTGAGCTTTAGTGTCCTGTTCATATTTCAGAGTCCTTAGATGTGGCCATGCTTGTTTGCTACTTTGTTTCCTGTTCCTTCATCTTAACACCCATGTTCCATCAACCCTACCACTCATGTTCCATCAACCCTACCATCTCTGCTTGCAAGATTTCTTGGTGGCCAGTCCTGCTGGGCTTTTTATCTCATTCACTGGGTTTTCCATTCTCAATGCTTCTGCATTTTTTTGTTTTGTTTTGTTTTGTTTTTTAAAACCTGTTTCCTTGCTGAGTTTTGCTGATCAAGTCCTCCACTTTGCTGTGCTTATTTTTTGTTTGTTTCTTTGTTTGCTGACATTCCTCTCAATGGCATAGATCAAATTTGTCTGATAGTTTGTATCTTCTTTTAGATTATTGATCATTTGTACTAGAACACTGAAATACTCATCTGGCATTTTGCAAACCTCAGTATTTTGGGGTTTACCTCTTGCAGAGTTACAATCTCTTGGAAGAATCATGCGGCTGGATTTCTGAAGCTTCTTGTGTTTCTCAGTTGTGATTTGTGTATCTCTTGGTTTACACATCTCTTCTTGTTTTGTTTGCGTGTTTGTTTTTAGGGGGAGTTCTTTCTTATTTAGTCTCTTACTCTTAGTCTCAATCCCCACTACCAATCAAGAAGCAGGGAACAAACCTCTGTACCCACAATAACATCAAACCACGTGAGACACAGAAATCCATTTAATGTCAATTACAGCCACTAACACATCACCAGTGACCATGAACTGAAAATGACATTACTTCACAATGTGCTATAAAATGAGAAATAAATGAGGTACAGGAAGGAGGTTGAGAAAGATGACAAATAGGGAAAGGGAGGTTAAATGTTTAAAAGAAAAAGGAGTGGAGGAGAGAGCAAAAAAAAAAAAAAAAAAAAACAAACATTTTAAAGGAAAAATACTTCCTTATTGTGAAAAAAAAACTTCAAAAACAAAATAAATAAAGAAAATAAAAATAAAACATAGGCCTATTGAGAGAAAAAAATCTGGGCTGGAGAGATGGCTAGATAGGTGTTAAGAGACCCAGGTTCGGTTCCCAGCACCCACATTGGGTGGCTCACAACAACCTGTGTCTCTGACTTAAGGAGATGCAACGCCTATGGCCTATGTGAACATCTGCTCGTAAGTACATACCTCCGCACAGACAAACACAGATACATAATTGAAAATCACCTTTTTTAGAAAGAAAAGAAAAAGGCCAATAAAGCAAATTTAAGATACTGTAAAATGTAGATAAGTGAACGGGGGAAAGGGAAAGAGGGAAGCGCCAGAAAAGGAGGAGGAGGAGGAGGAGGAGGAGGAGGAGGAGGAGGAAGAGGAGGAGGAAGTCACCCAAAAGTGGGGATTAAAAGAAAACATAAAAAAATAGGATGAATATATGAAGAAAATAAATATAAATATTAAAAAATTTAAAAGACATAATACAGTGAAGTTACTGCTAAATATGCAGGGATGAAAAACAGGAACCCCACGGAAGGGGAAAACGCTGTCAGAATGGCTTCTGTCTGGGTCTTCAGAACAGAAGACTGCTAGTTACAAGCCTTGGGGGAGGGAGTCGGTTGCAATGTGGTTTCTCATCTCTCCTCCAAGTCTAAACTGGACAAGTGCCTCGTCCGGAGCTGACTCCACAGCAGCAGTTTTGCTTCTCAGGGCATCAGGGACCTCTGCTGAGCACTCTGTGCTCTTCGGTAAGCTGGTCCTCTCCCTTTCTGGAGACCCAAGACCATAGGCACTGGGAATTTGGAGCAACCACAGCACTGATAGGGGTACAGGCGGAGGCCCTGGCGTGGTACTATCGAGGCCTCCTGAGTGGTAATCATCTGCTTGAGGGTGCAGCTGCTGGCTTTACACGCGCCCCTAGAGCGTCTGGGTAGAAAGAACAAAATATTCTCTCTGTATTAAATAACAGCAGTTTTCTTTAACCAGCTAGTTTCCCAATGACTGACACAGAGAGCCTAAGATTCACTGTTAAGCTGTAAACACTGTGCTGGGCAGATTCTGAGCTACTCTAATCCTAGTAGCATCGAAACCACATTAGGCCAATCACTTGCCAATCTGATGGCTCCCAGGGCGGCTTCTGCTCCATTGGTCTGTTACTACCGCCAGGTGTTCGTCGCCATCTTGCCATCAGCCATGTGGCCAGCTATCCTCCCAGCGTCCATAAACACATCTGTCTTCCTCCCGGTGTCCAGGTGAAAACGCCTTTCTCCTCCTCCCAGATTTTCTTTCTCCCTATCAGGAAGTCCCGCCTTCCCTTCCTAGCTTTCTGCCCAGCTGATTTAGCCAATCAGGTCTTTATTGACAACTGCTACATCCACACAAGACATTCCTCCACACTTCTGGGCTCCTGGCCTCTATAGCAGTGAATCCGAACCCCATTAACAAAACAGGGTTTCTCTTACTGTTGCTGCCTGGTGAGCTGAAGAAATCACTGTCTCTCCAAATACTGCAATTGGATTTAAGCTCATGAGGGCTATGCACTTGTCCCAAAATCTGCTTGATCCTCATCCAGCTTATCTTTTGGAAGAGGCTTCAAGTTCCAATACCCAGGGAACTTTCTGCACAGTCGCAGTTGCTCCGCTAGGCTTACTGTTCTGTGCAGCGATGCGCCTTGGTTCAATTCGTTTTCTTTCCTCCCATCATGGTGGTTCGATTTTTTATTTTTTTCTTTCCTCCTGTCATGGATTTCCAAAGGTTTTCCTATATTTCTGCTTGGGATGAAGCCTAATATTTTGCATAATGTCTTTTTCACCAGTGCTCACAGTCAGGCGCTGTTCAACCATCTTAACCAGGAAACACTATCTTTATCATTAAAGCAATTAAACTACATACACATGAACAAGGAGGACTCCAATAGACATGTCAACATGGATGGGGGTTGGGAAATCTCACATGACCTCGACCCTAGACAAAGAACTACAGGGAACTGAGAAATCCTGAGAGCAGGAGAAACAGTCTTCCCCAGAGAACACATTAATTGGTGACCCAATGCCAAGTGGTCACCCTGGAAAACATATAGACAAGTAACACTGTATTTATGTGTTTAGAAATACACACATGTACACACACACACACACATGTAACAACAATTAAAGAAAAAAGAGGCCATGAATTTGTAAGAGCAAGGCCAAGCGGGTATGTGAGAGAGTTTGGAAGTGTGGAAGAAAAGGGGAATGATGTAACTAAATTATGATCTCAAAGAAAGTTTTTTAGCAGTGTGGTGGTGGTGGAGGCACACGCCTTTAATCCCAGCATCGGGAGGCAGAGGCAGGCAGATCTCTGTGAGTTCCAAGCCAGCCTGGACTAAAGAGCAATTTCCAGGGCAGCCAGGGCTTACACAGAGAAACACTATCTTGAAACAAACAAACAAACAAACAAACAAAAAAAGTTGTTTAAAATTACATCTAAAGTAGAATTATAACTGTTTCTACTTGTGCAGAGAATTAGTTGCAAACAAAGCTGCGTTATCTTAGTTATTAGATTTCTCCCCTTGATTGCCTCTCAGGTAAAGAGAATGATTAATAATCACGTGGTCTGTAGAGCTGAGCTAGCTGTGGGCTGCATACGTGTTATGCCAAAGCACCGCACATTTTAGGAGATGAGAAAATAAGAAACATTCTCTGCACAAGCCTCCTACAAGATAGCCTAAGGGAGCCGGCAAGCAGAGGCTTGTAAAAACCAGGGTGTTCTGCGTGACTCTGACCTGGGCCCTCTGCGTGTATGTTGTGCTTGTAAAGCTTGGTGTTTTTGTGCGTGTCCTAACAGGGGGAGTGGGTGGGGGCACGGTTCCTGACGCTTTTGCCTGCTTTTGCCTTCTCCTCCCACTGGGTTGCCTCTTGGAGCATTCGGTATAAGGGGAGGTGCTTAGTCAGCCCAACTTGATGTGTTATGTTTGGTTGCTGTTCCCGGGAGGCCTGTCCTTTACTGAAGGAAAGCAGAGGATGAGTGGATGGTTAGGAGGAAGGGGAAGGCAGGATGGAAAGGGGGAGGAGGGACTGAAAGGAGCACAGGGAGGGGAAATTGCAGTTGGGAGGTAATATATGAGAGAATAAATCATTTTTTTAAAAAAAAGGCTATTCACAGGACTCGGAAGTTGGGATTTTCAGCAACTGTGTCCCAAAAAAGAACTGACCGTATGTTTGCACAGGCTTAGAACACATATGTTCAGACTCCATGCCAACTGAGCATGTTTTCCGAACAAAACCCTAAGAGAGCAGAACCCTGACAAGGGATGACAAGGTGACAATGTGGCGCTCAGGGGTTTAGCTCGGCACTGCAGAGTTTACCTCACACGCACAGGGCCCTTGGCTCTGTCCCTAGCACTGAAAAGAAGCAAGGGGGGTGGGGGGGAAATGACAAGCAAACACTGTTTTCTCAGCGGCATGTGTGGTCCGAGATGCCACTGGAAACATGAATGACACCATCATTTCTGGAATGAATTGCAACGGGTCTGCAGCCTGTGGGCTGGGCTATGACTTCTCAAGATGTCAGCATGAACCGTGTCAGTATGGGCTGATGAACAATTTTCAGGTATGAACTTCGAAAAGATAGACAGAGACAGAGGATAGGTAGATAGATAGACAGACTGATAGATAGATAGATAGATAGATAGATAGATAGATAGATAGATAGATAGATAGATAGATGGTAGATAGATAGGTGATAGAGACGATAGATTAGATAGATAGATAGATAGATAGATAGATAGATAGATAGATAGATAG